AAAATTCAAATTTTCATTATTTCACAGTTTTTCTAAGGATATCAAATTGAGACAAAAAAACGAATCAAAATTGTTGCGAAGCAACGTTTTGATTCGTTTTTTGTCTCAATTTGATATCCTTAGAAAACTGTGAATTAGAAAAGGAATAAAAAAAAATGAGAAAAAAAATTATACAATCAAAAAATTATTTCGCATGTTGCGTAGAGTATTTAACAATTATTATTTATAATAAAAATAATCGTAAAATAATAATAATAATGAAATAATAATGAAATAATAATAAAATTATAATTGGTAATAATATTATAATATTAATAATTATTAAGTAATAATATTTATTATTATATTTAATATTGAAATGTAAAAAAAATAATTTAATTACTTGTTTAATAAAAAATATTTATTAATATAATAAAATTATTAAGGAACTATAATGAAATAAATTAGACAAAAAATGTTATAATACCATTAAATCGCTAATTAATTTTGTTGAATAATCATCGAAAAACAGAGAGAGATTTTTCATTAACAAAGAGAATTTTCAATTATATAAAATCTCGGCACTGCGTCTTATATGAGAAATTAAGTTATTCAAGCAGAAATCTAATATTCTCTCTATAAAGCTTCTTTTCTTTTTTTTTTTTTGCAAAATGTAACCTAGAAACCCGCAGCGACTTTAAGAATTTAAGACTTTGGAAAACTTATCAGAATTTTAAATTTATTTACTAATGTCACTTAAAAATACTTTTGTTTATAATAAAAGTTGAATTATTAATTTTTTTTCCTTTTCTTTTAGTTGCGCATTTTCATTTTCTTTTCATTTCTTTTTTTTCTTTTTACCGCTTGTTAGAAGAAAAAAGATAAAAGAAGAAAAATAAAGCCAAGGGTGTGAAAGGATAAGCCTTTTATTTTTTTGTATATAACACATTCGACCCTTTTCTTAATACTTATAGATTATTTTTAGCGCACTTTAGGGAAGATTTCTCATTATGTGAATCTAATGCAACTTTTTTCTTTTTTGGAGGGGAAAATAATTCAATTTTTTACTGGCTTTTACGTCGCACAAGTTTATGTACTAAATTTTCCCGGTTAATGAGAAATTTAATCAGTTAAAACCTTCATTAAGTAAAAGCATGAAACTTTCTCACAATTCCCATCATTTACTGTTTACTATATACTGTATAATATATTACTATTATTATTATAATATTATATAATTATTGAATTATCAAAAAATTGTAATTCAAATAAATAATAATTTTTTATCTAAAATTCTGTCTTTTTCATTTAATAGATATTTTACTATCAAATTAGTAATTTTCAACAATTATATTAGAAATTTCCACTAAATTAGTAAAATTTAATTACTAAAATTTTTACTATTTAAATGGTGAACGAATCCGCACCACTCTTTAATTAGTAGAAAACTTATAATTTAGATTGTATACATTTTCTACTAAGTATAAAACAATTATAGTCTTTTTCTAATACAACATTTTTCGAATTCTAAAATATAAAAAAAATCATTTAGATTTACGAGAAAGTTTTAAAATTACATATATAAATGAGAATAAATTTCAATAATTACATTCTTTCTTATTCATTTATATGTAAAAGAAAAGAAAAAGTTAAAAATAATTTTTTTGATCCATCCAAAAGAATTACTGATTACCTCTTAAGTTTGAAGAAAGTTTGAACCATTTTATGGATGCAATTTAAAGTGGTTTTTTTACAGAACCGCGCTAATAAAATCTAAGGAGTCAGCTATTTCCTAAAAGCCTCTGCATAATACATATCTCAAATGTCTTTTTAAATTAACTTTACCTTGAATTATTACTCAGAAGAAATATATTTTTAATTTCAGATTCCCACAGAAATGTTTTTCAGAAAACTATTGACATTGAAGATATTTTCAAAAATACATTAGATATTTTCAATTTTTTGACAGTTTTTTTAAAGTCATCTCAAATATATTAGTATAATTAATTTTACAATTATTATTATTGGCAAAAATTTATTTCTTTGCAAAAAAAAAAAGAATCGTAAATATAAAAGAATTAGAATAGAATTTTAAAAATTAGTTTCTTAAATCGACAGGAAAAGTAGAAAAATTTTATTATTATTATTTTTCGATCTTTTTGTTGTCAGATTCGAAATCGTTGACCTTATTTTAGTAGAAAACAAGTACCATGTCGATGAAGTATTGCTTATAAACTGTAGGTTTGCTTTCGAAATGTTATTTTCAAAATCAAAATTTGAATTTTGAAAATCAAAATTTGGTGCTTTTTATAAACTCTATCATCATGGTATTCGTTTTCTACTAAACTAAGGTTGAAGATATCGAATCTGACATCAAATAAGTCATTCACTCAATTTAATTAGTTAACATTTTATTATTAATGTTATTTTCCGTTATTTTTTATTTTAAAAATCAAAATTTGGTGCTTTTTATAAACTCTACCACCATGGTATTCGTTTTCTACTAAAATAAGGTTGACGATTTCGAATCTGACATCAAATAAGTGCTTAAACCGAACAGCAAATGTCGAAAAATTCTTTAACTTACATTTACTCAATTTAATTTGTTAAAATTTTATTATTAATGTTATTTTTCGTTATTTTTTATGTTAGATTCGAAATCGTCGACCTTATTTTAGTAGAAAACAAGTACCATGTCGATGAAGTTTCTAAAAAAATACATATTTTGATTTTGAAAATCCAAATTTTGATTTTCAAAATATTTAAAATTAAGCCTACAGTTTAAGGGGCCGTACTTAAATAACGTAACGCTTTAATGGGAAGGAGGGGGGCCAATATATATGCATATTTGAAGAACTAAAAAATTATCCACCACAAAAAAATTGATAATTAAAAATAAATTTTTCATAAACATATTCAAAATTCTTTTTGTTTTCTTTTGAGTCAAAATTTTGACTGGAAATCAGGGAAAAACAAAAGTAAATTTGTGTGTCAACCCTGGTATTGAATAAAAAAATAGAATATCACATCCCTAGTAGAAATTTGTCATAGTATCTTTAAGGGCACTGGACAGTTCCACTGGAAAATTTCGAGGCACTTTACAGTTAAACTGGCTAAAAACTATAAAGTGATGTCACGCTAATTTCTTCAAGTTATTGTCCAGTCAAATTTTACAGTTTCTGATCATCAGTCCTGTAGAAAAACTATACAAAATAATTCACTTGGAAATGTCAAAACTTTCTTTATATTGACGTTACGTATTAAACACGTACAAATTTGAAAATATAACGTTAAATTTTTTTGTCAACAAATTAAATAAATTAAAATTTTACGAAACTATATTTTTACTGTTGGTGTATCTATTGTTCCGTATAATAAATGATTTATAATAAATTATCTGTAAAATTATTTTTAAATAACTACATAATTAAAAAAAAATATAAAAATTACTGATTCTTGAACACATGTCATTTTTTTACATTAAACAACATTCACTTTTTCCTTTAATTAAGCACAACACTGAAATAAATATTATTATTTTATCACACTACAAACTTATAAGTAAACCCTAATATGAAGAATTAATTCAGTTCAAACGAAAAATATCTAGCGGTTTCGGGGAGCGAACTCGGGTCACACTGGGACGAAATACCTAAACGCACGCTTTACGCATCACGGCCGTTCTAGTCGATGGACGATTCCGGAAAAATAAGAACCATACTCTACCGGCAGGTAAAGCAGTTCCCTTTTTCATCTTTTCTAGCTCAACTGGCGAATTACTGGACAGCTACTGCATAACACTCTAAAGTTGAACTTATTGATTATTACTGTATAGAAGTTCTGTCTGTCCAGTTATTCTCATGGTACTGTCTAGGCGTTCCGTGAAATTATGTTTCAAAGTTTGTCGTGGCGTTAGCGCTACCGTCAGTCCAGCAACTGAACAGTGTTGTGTAGACATTTTCCATAAATACATCAGAGTATACACTGAAAGAAATAATTCGCGGGTGTAACTAGAATTATGTCTATTTTTTCCGTAAGGAATTAGTAATAAATTGTTACTGTCTACTGTCATTAATTATAGACAGTTCTGTTATTCAGATCGGAGAGCTATACATATGTCAACGTCAATTCATCAATGTAAAACATAACCTCACTTTATTGGACCAATTCTAACTTTTTGTATGTAACAGGTTTGTTAAATTAATATTTATACATATAATAAGAGTATATAATCTTGAAAAGAAATTGTCTTCTGAATTTAAAAAATTAGTTATTTTAATTAACTCAATTAATTGAAGCGAATTTTAAAAAATTTTTTTTTTTCTAAAGGAATTTTCATTAAAAATAAATTTTGATTGAAAAGAAATTTTTATTATTAAATCAAAATTTTAATATTAAATAATTTAAAAAATTTGTTATTTAGTTGTCAACAGTAAAATAAAAGAACAAAATTAAAATTATAAAAACTATAAACTGTAAAACCAAAAGATTTATTTTATAGAAAATATTTCGAAAATGTCAATACACAACTGTTTAGTTACTGAAACTGGCGGTAGCGCTAACGCCACGACAAACTTTGGAACATCATTTCTCGGAACGCCTCGACAGTGCCATGAAAATAACTGTACAGGACTTCTATGCAGTAATAACCAAGTTCAACTTTATATTTTCTTTAACAGTGTTATACAGTAGCTGTCTAGTAATTCGCCAGTTAAGCTAGATTAAACTTCCATGACTAAAACTGTACAGTAACTTGAATAAATCTAGTCATGCCACGACAAATTTCTACTAGGGATTTAGTAATGAGACGACAATTTTTTAGTGGAATTTATTTTTCCGGGGATGAAAAGAACCGAGAGAGATATGAAAGTGAAAAGTAAATTATACAGAGGATTTAATTTAAAAATGAATGTTCCTTCCGCATGAAATATTCCCGAGGAATGGTTGTATTTATGGTATGAAGCTAAAATAAAAATCTGTGCGTCGTAAAACTGGAAAAGAGAGCAACAAGTGAAGGATTTTTCCCCTTGAGTTGTTTCTCAGGAAATTTCTTTTTTTCGTTTTTCTCTCTTTCTCTCTCTCTCTTCTCCCTTCGTTAAACAAATCGCAGTATCTCGGGCGACGCATTAAACTGTGACGGTATTTGCATGCGGAGCTCGTTTAATTTAATTCAATTAATTAAAAGGGAACGAGGAAGACCGTCGTACTACCGAGGTTGTTCGACGCCAGGGAATTACGTGCTTCGAGTAACAGTATATCCCCGGCATCATACTTCGTCAACCCTCTTTCTTTCTTTCTTTCTTTCTTTCTTTTCGCCTCCCTCGGTAGTTTTAGAGGAGGGAGAAAAAAAAACTACCCCTTTTCCTTTATATCTTATGTCGAATGTTTATTATTAAAGAGGCCGACCTTCTTCCTTATTACAAGTTCCTCGCACAAAAGATGTGCTTTCATTTCTGATGATACAGCCTCTCAATACACCTCGAAATTAAAGTTATACTGTCTTTGAAAAATAGACTTGTGTGGGTAATGGAAAAGACGAGAAGTGCGAAAGGTGGGGAAAAAATATTCTCTCTGAATAAAAGCGAAGTCTGTCAAGTATGGAATAATCCTTTCAATGGAATAAGGAAGGGAAAAGTAAAGGTGGTAATCAAGAGTCGTTTCAGGATTATAGGAAGGGTATAAACGAGGATTTCAAGCCCCGTTGCGATCAGTATTATGTGTGTGCTATATACATTAAACTTTTATATCTTTTTCCTCACGTTTTCTGATCGAGTCCATTTTTATCGGAAAATATATCATTTTTCGGTAGACTTAGTTCTTCTTTTCAAGAATAATAATCATTCATTGTTTATTCTATATCATTCAGGTCACGAATTTGTACACGACTTTTATTTGAGCTTTATTTGGCTTTTTCTCAAAACTCTGTGGCCAAAATAAATCATGTGCAAGTTGCAAATTTTGAGACTTTGGATAAAAATAAAAAAGTTGTTTTGAATTCTCAATTAAGACACTTTGTTTCAGGCATGAAAGACTATCAGAGGCCGATAGTGGAAGAAAGGTGACGGAGAGTAAATTGAAACACGAAATAATTGTAATGGGAGCGCCTAAAGTTGGAAAATCAGCGATAATACATCAATTTCTATTCAACACATTCACGCCAAAATACAAGAGTACAGTTGAAGAAATGCATCGAGCCAAATTCGATGTTAGTGGAATTCAATTAATTCTTGATATTCGCGATACCTCGGGAACTCACGAATTTCCCGTAATGCTTGACATGCGCATACAATCGGCAGATGCATTTGTTCTCGTTTACGATGTCAATGATAAAAACACATTCACCGAGTTGGTGGCCCTTCGACAAAGAATTATCGATAAGAAGGGCGAAAATGTCCCCATTGTTGTTGTCGGCAATAAAATCGATCTGAGAGAAGACGACGAAGAGGTAAATTACAATAAACAAACTAAACTATAATAGACAATCTAAATTATAATAAACAAATTAAATTATAATTTGAAAAATAAAAAATAAAAATGCTATTCTTTTCAGATGGAGACTGAGCACACAAGAGAATTAGTGACTGTCGAATGGAGCAATGGATTTGTGGAGGTATCAGCGAAGGATAATTTACAAATTTCCACTGTTTTCAAGGAGCTATTGAGTCAAGCAAAAGTCAAGTACAATTTAAGTCCGGCACTTCAACGACGACGTCGACAATCACTTCCGCCACCTCAGCATCTTAATTCGAGAACAAGTAGCGCTCAAGTCCCAACAGCCACACAATTACAACATTTACAAAAAATTAGCGAACGAGCGGATTCAAAACGAAACTCATGCATTCTATCGTAAAAAAGAAACAACTACATTATTATACATACCGCCCATAAAACAAATTTTCCCCAAAATTTGAATTTTTTTCAAAATTTCCAACTCAACTGTATACAAGAACTTTCAAAGACTATTAATTACATGTAAAGTAAATTTTCAAAAAATAAATAAATAAATTGACTGCATTAACTTTAACGAAAAATTAATTTTGAATAAAATACAAATTTACAGGAAAGCACAATTAGAGTATTATTCTGAATAAATGTCACGTCAGTATCAACATCTTACACTGTCAGAAAGTTTTAATCAAACAAAAAAATTATTTTTTAAATAACATTTATTTTAATATTAACCTACGAATATTTTTAATTCATACTTTGATTCTAATCTTAATTAAAAACTCGTTTTCAATAAATTTAAAAATCAGAGACCGAAAAAAGCATAATTTTGTTTACCATATTGCGCGCGCAAGTCGCAAAGTACGATTGGTCAATTCCCCCCTTCCCAAACAGCGCACGCAATCAAATCGTCCAAAAAATGAAGAGTGGGGAAAATGACGCTAAACATAAAAATAATTATTACTTCTACGATGAAAATTAATTTATTAAATTTGAATCAAAGCAGAATAAATGATGTAAACCATTTCTAACAGTGTAAATTGCATTAAATCTAAAATTCTCTCTCGACATCACAAATAATAATAATTAATCATTATTAACAATTATAGAAATGTATATTAAATTATAATCAATCGTTCATTTTTTTCATTTCAATAATTCAACATAAAAATAAATACCAAAAAGAAACGAAATTTCTTTAAAAAATAAAAATCTATTCTATATAGCATAAATGCTCTGCTAAAGAAAAGTTCAAAAAATACAACCAAGAGAAAAATTATTATTTTCGCCTATTTAAATAAATAAATTTATTTTCAATTTTAATAAATGAGATGACACTGAAAATGCAGGTAATTTTTTTAGAGAATTTTTGTTTATCAATTTTCTATAATCGTATTATTATTATGAAGTTCATGTTTAAAAGAAATTAAAATTAGACAAATGTAAAATTTTCAATTTCAAAGAATTAATTTTAATTAAATTAAAAAATACTCCAAACTGGAATGATCTTTTTTTTCGAATAAAATTTTTTTCAACTTTATTAGCAGAGATGTAAAAAAAGTCAATATATACTTGAGCGGGAACACAAACGCGCAACATAAAATATATTAATTGCAATCGCAATCAAATGTGTTAGAATAAATAATATTTAAATCTACGTGGACCAACCCCAGAGAAAAGATTTATTAAAATCTAAAGAAAATTATCAACAATTTTTTATTTATATTGAAGGCAAAATAATTATATTGGAAGAAAAGTCAGTATAAACTTTTTTTTCTTACAAATAATCAAATTTTTAATTTTAAAAAATTATATAAACGTGTGAAAAAGTAATTATTATATAAAAAAATTAATACTGTTGACATTCATTACGATCTCTGTGATTTTCTTTCTATTTTGTTAATAAAAATTATTTAATTTTCTGCGTAAATCTTATTGTATATTTTTTTCCCCAAAATTTACTAAAAAATAGAGGTACTCTTATTAATAAATCTTTTTTCTGGATGTTTTCTTTATGTTTAATTAATTATTAAAATTACAATAGCAATTATTATAAATAGAATAATTATAATTTTATTAGTTATTATAATTATTACAATTATTATAATTATTATTAGATATCATTATTTTATTATTATTATTTTTTTATTATTTTTATTATTTTTTTTATTATTATTTTTATTATTATTTTTATAATTATTTTTATTATTAAACAAATTTAAAAATAAAAAAATTCCTCTGCGTGGATAATGTATTATAGTGTAATTTAGAAAAGTATTTTTAAATTAAATTGAGCGTTAAAATATAATATTTATTTTTTTAATAAGCTAAAATAATTATTTTCATTATTCTAATTGACTACTTTAAAAAAAAAACTCTTGAAAAATTACCTGTTTTCAAATAAATATATATGCGGGCTTCTAAAAAGCATTTCTAATTAACATGAAACTACTTATTCTATTGTCACCAAACTTCCTTAGAAAATTTCAAATAAAAAGTCTTTCAGAAACATATATACATAATATATATAGACGAGGTCGCAAAATTTTCTCATAAAAGCGGTCATTTTGGAACAAAAAAAAGAAAAAGAAAAAAAAAAATCTCATATGGTAATTTAAAAACCAAATCTACTTCTTTAACGAAATTATTAATTAAATAGTTAATATCTCTATTATTTTATTACTATTTTCTTATTATTTTATCATTTTACAATTTTTTTCCCACTATTTTCTGAGTTTATTTCTTATTATTCTCATAATTAACTTTTTCAATTATCCTAATAATAATAATGAATTATTAATCGATCAATTGTTGATTGATAATTGAATTATTAATAATTACGTTCAAAAAATATAATTATTAATTTAAATATCGAAAAATTTTTGTTTTTAATAAAATACCTTTTTTCAATCAATTTGTACTCAACAGACTATTTCATATTAAAACAAATTGAATATTTTTATTTAATAATCAATTTATAAAATTTGTCAAATATTATCAAAAACTGAAAAACTGCCAATATTTCATATCTTAATTTAAATTATACATTATACAATTAAAAATTCAAAGATAAAATATTGATGTCGATTACCTGTTTAAAGTACAATAATAAAAAAAGGAATTTAATTATTTTTACGAGAATTCAAATATTTTTTCTATCCACAATATTTTTGTATAATTTAATCTTCAAAAAGAAAATAAAAAAAAATTAGAACTGCAAAATATGGACATCTTTTACAGCCCCATAAATGATTATTTCGAAATATAAAAATCCAAAAAAATAACATATAAGATATTTATGTGTAACATAATTAAATAATTTAAATTAATTAATTAATTTTTCAATAAAGATAGATATAATAATGACATCGATAAACTTTACCTAAACATATTTATTATTTAATTCTAAATTTTAATTTCCTTATTTATAAAAAATAGACTATACGCATACAACTATGTGTGTAAATAAAAAAAAATTATTAGAAATTAGTCTATAAATTAGATTAATAATTAATTTTAAATAAATAATATAAAATAATTTACTAATAAATAATTATGAAAATTATAAAAAATGTTACTTGAAAATTATTTAATTAATATTTCGCCAATATTGACTAACATTTTTCACGATTAAAGAAATTGTACGATATAATAAAAATTTTAATTAATTAAAAATCTGTAAAATTAAAAATACAAAAATTTGTCTTTTGTCAATTTATTAATTTAATTTAATTTAAAGCTCAATATTTTTGTTCAATAGTACAATTTTATTATTGTTACAATAAACAATTCGTAAGGATAAAAAAAAATTGTAAAAAAAAAAATTAATTATGAAAATATAATTGGAAATTATTTATAATATAATATTCATTATTGTAATTTATGACTTTGTAATTTCTTGTTGTAAATACGATGTGAAAAAAATAAATATTAGCTTCATGTTCATGAATAAAAAAAAATTTTTATTTATTTATATTTTTCTATTTGATTTTTTCTTCTATTTGTTTATTTATAATTTTTACTTTTTTTATATTTTTAAAAATTAGATAAGAAAAAATTAAATAGTCTTCTATTTAATTTTTTTTTCAATTTTTTATTTAATATTGTTTTACTTTTTTTTTATTATTTTACTAATTTTAAAGAATTACGTGAAAATTTTAAAAATATTTTCAAATTAATTAAATTATTACATTAAAATTAAAAACCGTTTCTAATTTTTTAATATATAAAAACTAATTTTATTATCTCCTGCACTGCTGAGTATAAATTAATTTCCAATCCTAATTAAAAAAATTGAATAATTTCCTTTTTAAAATTTAATCGAACAAAATTAATTTGTTATTAAAAAAATCAAAAAATAATTTCTTTGAATTTGATTTTTAAATTTTGAACTAAATGCGACAATGTGAACAGAACCTAATGTCACGTGACCAAGAAACAACTTTCATTCGTCAGTTTAGGTTAGTTTACCGGTATTTATTAGCAGTAGTAGCAGTCAAGTCTTTCGATTTTCTTTCTCCTTCTTTTGTTAAATATAATAATTTTCTTTTCATTTTAAAAGAGAAGAAAAAAAATAATGGATAAAACAAAAGTTAATTTTCGCGTTAAAGTTGATCTCTCCAAGTTTTTTCAAGATATTCGTAAAATCAGTTGGATTTTTGTCGACACATCAAGGACATCATGCATCAAACAATTGAAAGATCACATTGCAAAAGTCTTCGATATTCAGGAATCTTTTTATCTTTCATGCGAATCAACGTATCTACCATGCAAGGAAGACGTTCGCATTGTACAATATGATAATCTCATAACGTGCGTATAATTTTTATTAAAAAAAAAAAAATTCCCATTTCCAGTGAATAAATTTTCCAGTCGCCATTTTTTTTCTCTTTCCAAAAATTACACGAGCCGGGCAGACATTTTTATCATCATTTTTCTATATTAAGGGCGTATTACATTTTTCAGTATAATTATAAAAATAAAAATTAATTTCTAAAATTAATCGATGCATTAAAAAAATCTATTAAAATACACTCTTATTTGAAAGTTTACCCTTTTTTTTACCAACATTTCTCAATTAAGTTTCGAAAAAAAATTCTTAATTTTACAGCCTTATGCCCGGAACCTCTGTAGTAAATAATGATAACAATTCAGTCAGCACCTTCGATGAGAAAGAAGTACAAACAGATAATTCAAACGAAGATGCCAACATGACCGTTCTCTCTGGAAATACAATACCAGGTTTGGATTTATTCTAATTAAATTTTATTTCAAAAACTAAAAATCGTAAAGAAAACAAGAAATCCCGAGGAAAAAATAAAGAATAATTTTCTTTCAGGGACAACGACAAACAATACAATGTATCATAGTCTTCTAGAAGAATCAGAAGCCGGTAGTCCGGCGGAATCAAAAGAAACTGACAGTATGATGACAGAAGATTACAGTTTCGATACAGCAACACCAGCAAAAAGAAAACGATCACGACGAAAGAGAATCAAGAGACTCGACACTTCAACATCAAAAATTGACAAAACTCCATTGGAGGATAAACGAAAACCAAAAATCATCGACCAAATTGTATTAGGTAGTGGTAAACACATTCGTTTCAGTAATCAAGACGAAGAAATTAAATCACCAATTAATAATGTTTCAAATACAGCAGAATTTCAAAATAAATGCATCGAATCTCCGATTAGTAAAACATCATCATCAAACAGTTTGGATGCTCTCCTAAGTTTAAAACAATGTTCAACACCCCTGACATTTTCATGTGCGAAAGTTAATAAACAAGTTATGAAACCCTCAAAAATGGTTTCTGTTATTAATGAAGATGTCGAAAATCTTACGGAATCTGACAGAAACATTGTGACGCAAATTGAAAAGAGTTTTGATGTTAATTTCGAAAATGTTGATGTGGAAAAATGTCCACCTTTACTGAAAGGTGCACAAGTGAGGGATATTATTGCTTTCAAGGTAATAATTTTTCTTTTTTACATTCCAAATTGAATTAAGATCATTTTTTATAATTATTACTTTTCTCTTCTAGATGTTCAAAATGGGAGAGAACTACACACCGCAAATTTCGAACTTTATCTTCGGAAGAGTCGTCGATTCGCATCCGATTACAAAACAGTACACGATTCAAATTTTACGTGAGTTAAATTTAATATTTCCATTTTTCTCTTTACTCCAAATGGAGAAATTATTGAAATATTTACCATTAATAGTTATTTCTTAAATACAGAAAATTATTTAATAAATAACTGAATAAAAATAAATAAAATGCAAAATTAATGAACAATGAAATAAATGCAAATTTGATAGAAAAAGGACGAAAAGTTCGTAAATTGTACAATATAATTTGGAGAATTTTAGAGAAATTACAAATAATTGCAGAAATTCAATTATGTGCCAAAATTTTTAAAAATTCTCATCAAAATTTCAATTATCTTTAGAAATAATTAAATTCTTCTCCAAAATTCAATTATTTGCAAAAAATACAATAAAAAATACATATTTTAATACAATTCTTGGCAGAATTGCAATTATTTTCACAAATTTTCCTCAATTCAATTATGTTGAATATTTATTATTTTAATAAAATATATTCCAAAAGAATTCAATTATTTAGAAACAAATTCATAAAATTCTACGCAAAACATTTAATTATTTTCATAAAATAATAAAAATTCACAGGAATTCAATTATTTACAAAAATAATACAATTATTCGCAGAAATTCAATTTCGTTCAAAAGTTTACAAAAATTTCAATTATCTTTAGAAATAATAAAATTCTTCTCCGAAATTCAACTATTTTTAAAAATTTTCTTCAATTCAATGATTTTCAATATCTACTATTTTAATAAAATTTTCCAAAAGAATTCAATTATATAAAAAAAATTTTTCTACGCAAATATTTAATTATTTTCATAAAATAATAAAAATTTCACAGGAATTCAATTATTTACAAATTTTAAAAAACATGCAATTTTGTTTTTAAATTTAAAATTTAAATTAAATCAAATTAAATTAAATTAAATTTAAAAATTGTTTTTTTAAATTTAAATAATTGAATTCTAGTAGAATTTTCTAATAAAAATTGATTTAAAAATGGATTTCAGTTAAAATTTTAGATTTTGAAAAGATTTCAAATAAAAATCTTTGAAAATCTAAATTTTTCCTATTTTTAACACGAAAAAAAAATTTAATTTAGGAAAAGTTACAAATCATTGCAGAAATTCAATTATTTTCATATTCTTCGCAAAAGTTATCTTCATAGGGATTCAATTATTTAAAAGAAATGTAATAAAATTTGTTGCAAGAATTTAATAATTTTCATAAATAATAATATTTTTTACAGGATTTTAATTATTTTGAATAGAATTTCAATTATTTTTATGCAATTTTAATTGAATTTCTCGAAAAATATAATTATTAAATTACATAAAATAAAATTACACAGAAAATATTATTAAAATTCGTCGAAAAAATTCAATTATTTAAAAATTTGTTGATAAAATAAAATTCAATTCTTTATGAAAATTAAATTTTAAGAAACATTCAATTATTCAATAAATTATTTATTTGCATTTTATTTATATTTAAATAATTGAATTCTAGTAGAATTTTCTAATAAAAATTTTTTAATTGAATTTTTTTAATATTATTTCAAGTTTTTATTTTCTAATATATATTTAATTCAAGAATTAACGAATAATTGAAATTTCGTAAAATTAAATATTGTAAACAAATGAATTTGAAAATTGTTAAAAAACTTTTTCGAAAATTATTAAAAATAATCGATTTGAAGAATTTTAGTTAAAAATTCTTTAAAATAATAATTTAATTGATAATGATACTCTGTCGTCTTTAATTATTATAAAACATGAAGAAATCGATGATTCCGAGTCGAAGACTCGGAGTTATCGATATCTTCATGTTTTATAGTTATGAAAATTTAATTTAAATTAAATTAAGAAATTCGTAATTTAAGATTAAAAAATTTTGATAAGCAATTGAGAGAATCTGTTTATAATTAAATAATCCAACTTGTACGTATTTCCAAAAAAAATAGGTGGCCTAGAAGAAATCGAAGAGCCGAAAGGAAAACTAACCCTTCCCACAGATGAAGAAGAAACACAATCTGATATAATCAAAGTTTACGAAAATCAACTTTTAGAAACAAGATTAATATCTAGAAAGGAGTAATTCGTTACGTTTATCATTTTATTAACAAGACTTCCGCATTTATCGACAAATTATTTTCTTTTTGTTTGTTATTAGTTCATTTTAAATGTGTTAAAAGAAATATATATATTATTATGACGACGAAATCATCACGATTTATCTTAATTCCAAGAAAGAATCGGACAAACACATTCAAAGTTTGCACTTTTTCTTTTGAGAAAAACACTCGAAAAAATTTCCAAACTAAAAATTTTTAATTTAAATAAAATAAGCAAAGAAAAAAAGGAATTAGACTAAATGATTCTTCGTCCGATTCTCGCTTTAAATATTTCAAAATATTTCAAAATAATTATTTCAAGTTATTTAAAAAAAAAATTAGTTTTCTATATTCTTGTTTATTTTTTTTTTAAAAAGCATCAATGTTTAAAAATTAGGTAAGCGATTTATACAATTCTTTTATATGTATCGTACTTTATATAAAACGCTTTATTTAGAAAATATATGTTTTTCATTATAAAAAAAAAGTGTTCTTTATATCGAACGAAAAAAACACAATCCTTGAGAAACGAAAAATTTTCGTTAATTATTGAAAAAGGTTAATAGCTAATACAAATATTGTATCGTAAAGTTTAACGCAAATAAATTTTTAAAATAGTTTTTCACTTATCAGAGACGCGAAATACTTGAAAAAAAATTATAATGTGCGCTTATCAGCAAGGTACAACTTTCGACTTGAATAATTACTATCGACATAACTAATTCTTGTTAGTTGAGGAATTGTTTCCTAATAAGTTTCAAATCATTGAAAAAGAAGTTATTAAATACTTGTAATTAAATAACTATTATAATTCATTTAAATATTATAAATATTATTATTTATTTATTATTATTTTATTATTATTATTACTATTAGTTTATTAATATTTTTATTATTTTCTTATTTTATTAATATTATTACCTATTAATTTATTAATATTTATTCAAATGCGTACCTTCGAAGTACTAATAAAATTAACAAAAAAAATTCTCTAACAGTGAAAGAAAATAATTTTTAATGCGAATAAAAAAGTGAAAGAAAAATTTTCAGAGAAAAAATAAAACAGCAGTGCAAAAAGTAAAGAATGACAGCAATTACTGAGACCAATAATAATAATAATAATCATAAAACTAATGAAAAAGTCGAGAAAGCACTTGGACTGTTTGAATTTAAGACAAAAATTGTTTGGTCACATTTTATATATTTAATAATTGTTCATGTTATCGCAATTTATGGATTCATCACTTTTCCTTACACGTCATCGAAAATGACATTTTTGTGGCGTAAGTTAATTGAAATACGACGAAAGAAAAATATTCGTATACTGAGGAAAAAAATATAAAAATAATACCATAAATTTCAAATTAATTTTTAATTATTATAATTTTAATAATTTAATATTTGAAATAGCTTTTCCTTCCATTATAATATTTGTAAAGAAATTTTTTTCGATTTTTGGAAGATGATAGAAAAAATTAAAAAAGGAAAAATTATCTTTTTTTAATAAGACGACATTTCGGAGTTTAATAATTTAATTTAATTAGTAATTAGAATAGTAATAATGATAATTAGTAGTAATTCAATATTTAGTAAATTCTTCTTCTAAAAAAGTAAAAGAGTCTTTTTCTTTTACCTTTTATACGTCTTTCAAAAATCGAAAAATTTTATTTATTAGATAATTACTAGTAATTTGTAATTACTAATTATAATTAAAAATTAATTTGAAATGTATATTTCTAAACTCTAAAGAATTAGTAAAAACTAAAAATGTTTACTAATTGGATCTAGCGACAGACTTTTTTGCTTTTAATTTAGTAAACTTTACTAATTGTAGAAATTACTATTTAATTAGTAAATTTATTTATAGTAATTACTAATTAAATTAGTAGAAATTAATACTTATTAATAAAGTTTGTTAATTCAAAAGCAAAAAATCAATCACTAATTCTTAGCAAACATTTAACTAATTCAAATTTAGAGTAATATTTTTCATTAGTAATTATACTAATACTTTAGTTAAAATTTGAATTCTAAATTTGTTCAATGTATAAAAGATTGTAGTTTAATATTTTCTTTTCCATTTGAATGAAAGTTCTGCTTGGAGCAAATGTGGCAAAATTTGGGGAGACAGGAGGTGTTCATCGACTCTGGTCTCATCGTGCTTACAAAGCTAGATGGCCTCTTCGATTAATTTTACTATTATGCTACTGCACAAATGGAGTGGTATGAAAAATTATTATTTTCTAAATTTACTTGCAATTTAATTAAATTTTTTAGATTTTTAATATTAAAATAATTTGTAATACTTTTAATATTAATTGATTTTAATTATACTTTTTTTAATTAAATTAATTTTGCAGTTAAGACCAATGGAGTGGATAGCATTTCATCGTATTCATCACAAATTTACAGACACTGATGCCGATCCACACAATATAAAACGTGGTTTTTTCTATTCCCACTTGGGTTGGCTATTTTTACGAAAACATCCGGAATTCATTAAACAACTTAAGAAACAAGATTTGAGCGATTTGAAAAATGATTGGATTCTAAAATATGGTGAAAAGTATATTCAAATTTAGAAACTAAAAGACTTATCATTCTCTAAATCTGAATTATTAGTTTTGTAATTAGTTTCCTAATTAAACAGAGTTCGTGCGGATTCGTTTACAAATTAATATTTACAGTCCTCGGATATTACGACTTTTTTCCACTATTTTCAAAAAATGCCACTTTTTTCGACTTATTTTCAAAAATGAGTAAAATCTTTGCTATTTATTTGGTAAACGAATCCGCACTCTGCAATTAGTAAAAAAAAATACTAATTCAGATTTAGAGAGCACACGTATAAATACGTTTAAAGAAACAAAAAAAAATTTAATTTCAAATTTATTTATAAAGGTTTGCTTATCCGATAATGATAACGTGCAGCTTTCTCGTACCCGCAATTCTTCCCGTATATTTATGGAACGAAACTTGGCGTATATCAATAATGTCAGTAATTATGCGATTCGTTATGGTGGGAAACATAACGTCCACTGTAAATAGTGTCGCACATTTTTGGGGAATGAAACCTTACGATAAGTAGGAAAATTTCACTATATAAAAATGTGTCAAATTTAAAACACCATATTTTTTCTGCGAATATCAAAATTGAGACGAAAAACGAATCAAAAGTGTTACACTTTTGATTCGTTTTTCGTCTCAATTTTGATATTCGCAGAAAAAATGTGAGAAAGAATTTAAATACTTCCTCCATGAAGAAGCAATAATCAAATAATAATAATAATAAAATTTTTAGGAACATAACACCAGTGGAAAATAAAGCAATAGCAATTCTAACGTTAGGCGAAGGATGGCACAATTATCACCACGTTTTTCCATGGGACTATCGTGCACAGGAATTACCAACTTATGGCGTTAATGTGACAACATTTTTAATTGATATGTTTGCAATTATCGGCTGGGCCTATGATTTGAAGAAACCAAGTCAAGAATTAATAAAGGCAACGTGCTTGAAAAGAGGCGATGGAACACATCACATTTGGGAACGAGAAATTCAACCTCCAGCGAATTGAAAGTAAAAACGAAAATCAATTTCAAAGGATAAAAAACAGTTGAATGGCAACTAACTATTGCACTTTTAAATCTATAAATACCTATACAACCTAAATATTTTTCTCAGTCATATAGAAAATCATATCAAAAAACAAAATCTGTTCTCCATAATAAAGAAATATTTCTATCGCCAAAATCTCGAAATAATCGTTTTTAAAAAATTCATTTTTTTTTCAAAAAAATCTAAAATGATTAGAAATAATTTGTCTCTAACAAAAAAAAAAACTGTTATACATACATATAACAATTATTGCAATTAGGAATAATTACTTTTTTTTTTAAATTTCAGATACTACAATAAATATTTAATATTTAAAAATCCTACCTTTTTTTTGAAGATCTTATGCATCCTGCATCTGAAGAGAACGATTCCATTTTAATTTTTCCAATAACGATAAACCTGAAAAAGAAAAAAAAATTAAAATTTCATATTGATTTTTATTATTAAATATAATATTAAATAAATATTCGAAAAAAATTGTGTTATTTTTCAAAATTCAAAATTATTACCAACACTGGATAAACTTTTGGTGATAACTTATCAACAGACTTTAATTTTTATTCATTCCCGCGGTTTCTGCTTATAATTTTAAAATTACCAAATTATTGACACGAAAAATATTAAATTAATCTACATTTTTTTAATGAAAATCAATTTAATATTTTTCTCATCAATTTCATACTTTTTGCTATCAATTTAATGCTTTTTGGTATTTTAATGCTATTTAGTATATCAATTTGATCGTTTTTTGATAAATTTCATATTTTTTCCCTTAAATTTAAATAATTTTTGCTAGAAATTTAATACTGAGAATAATTTCAACAATTACAATTTTCTATGAATCGTGATAGTTTAAAAAAATTTTCCATTTTTGTTATAACTTGCTAACCTTGTCAACAACTAATTAAATTTAAAATAAAACTCCTTTCCTCAGAGTGGTTAGAATTAAAATTTCCAAGTATATAGAACCAAAAGTAAAAAAATCAAAAATTTGAAAAAGAAAATAATAGAAATAAAAATAAAATTTTCATTTAAAAAAAAAAATTATAATAATAAATAAAAATGCGGTTCGTTAATTACAATTATTGTATCAATAATTAAAGAAAATTATCAGTTTGAAGGCGCCCTCTCGATTATCTCACAGTGCCTCCCAACACATGGACCTATCTCTTTAACAAAATATTTCGACGCAATATTTCTCTCACGTATCCCTTTAAAAAAAACGACAAAACGTGCTCTTATTATTTATATCATCAACACAATTTGTTATTATCCTTATTCAGTAATTCTTCAATTTTTCGAGAATTCATATCCAAGAATAAGATATATAAAACAGTTAATATAAGAGATGTACCAATTTTAATAGAAGAAAATTGTTCTCCACAACGCTCATCTCGCGATTAAGCTAATTTCTTAATGTGTAGCGACCTTAAAATACGTTCTTACGCAATTGTCGTAATACTATATATTTGCGGACGTAATGCCTTTTCAAGGTCACCGGGATATATTATGACTAAGAAGACTCTCGCACACAAAACTTTCAACCATTCAAAAAAAACAAAAAAATGACACTCTTAATTAATTCCACGCATTTCAAAATTTAGAAAAAAAAAATCTTTTTTTAGTAATTCCCCCATTAAATCTGGATATTTTTAATGCATTTCAAGGCACCCTAATCTCTACGCATGTGTATGTTTTTTTTTGTATATAGATAAATGTTATCGGTTAGAGAAGTGTTCTGGCAGTAGTGCTTATGCACTCGAAGTGATAAAACGCGGTGTGTTACTCAAATTTTTAAAAATAACACCGCGAAATTATAAGTTATGTTTTTTCTTCTATTTCGTTTTTTACTTCTTTCGTTTTAATTGTTTTCCCCTCTTTTCTTTTTTTTCCTTTTTTCGTTTTTTTAATTTAAAAATATATACAGAAAAAGAAGTGTCAAGTGAGTGAAAATATTATTTAAAACAAAAAATCATGGAAGTGAAGTGGAGAATTTTACGTACATTGTTGTGGAAGAATTATTTAACTCGTAAGAGGCATTGGAAGCAAATAATTTTTGCTCAAATTTTATTTCCCTTGTGTATTTTTGTTTTATTGCAAAAAGTACGATCGCCACGATGGTATTCAAAGGAAGATGAACTAGTCACTTATTATGATATTGAAACAAAACAAAGTCTTCTAAAGGATTTAGAGGATTTTCATTTATATTATACGCCAAAAAATAATTTTACTAAACAATTAATAGATCGAACTGTTAAATGTCTCTCGCTCTCACCAAACAGTACGTATATAAACAAAAAAAATAATTAAACAAAAAATATAAACAAAAAAATCACTTTTTTATTTACTACACACTGAAAAAAAATTTATTTGATTCAAATAACAAATTACTATTATCAATTAAATATTTAATTACATAAATCAAATGAAATTTATTGGAGTTAATTAAATGGTTCATAATTTATATTTGCTTCAAATACTGAAATTATTGGTTCAAATACAATTTAATGAAACCAATAAATATTATTTGATTCAAGTAAATATTTAATTGATAATAATCGGTTAATTGAATAAAATAAATTTTTTTTCACTGTACAAATAATAATTTAAATTTTCTAATAAGAAAAATGTTTTGAGTTAAAAATTTTTTAAATTCCTCCACAAAAATTTTTTTTTATAAATTCATTCAAGTTTCAAGAATTTTTAATTTCTGTTAAAAAATGAACAATATTATTGAAAAGTTCTCAACAATAAGACAAAAAATATCTCCACCTTTTTTTTACTACATATTTTATTTTTTTTTATTTTTTCAATTGAATCAGTTTCTATTCATTTTTCTAATATTTAAATTTATTTCTTACGATTATCTTATAAGAAATGTTCGAAATAACAATAAAACTATTTAGTACAAATAAAATAATTTTCCATCATTTCCAAAACAAAATATTTCTTTTTATTTGTTTAAAAGTTAAAAAAAAAATATTTTTCAGTAAATGTGTAAATAAAATCGTCAATTGAAAAATTTCTTCAAAATTTCACAAAAAAAATGGAAGTGAAAGTATAGAAAGTTTATATTTAATTTTTTCGTGACTTTCGAATGCAGGAAGGATATGAAAGAAATTATTTTTTTCCACTACAAAAAATACTTTTTTTTTAAAACTATATAAATGTGCTTTGTCAAAATCCCCAAATATTGTATTTAAAAAAAAGTCTCAAAAACTTAGTTTTGCAAATTTATTCTCAAATACTTTATTTAAGAAATATTTCTCAGAAAAATAAATTGTTTTGGAAAACTTTTTCTATTTTTATCACTTTCTCCGTTTGGAGTAATTTTTATATTGACTGAATATATAAATTATAAATATTGACTAAAAATATTAATTTTATTATAATATAAATTAATATAAATATTACAATTAAATTATAGTTATTGAAAATAATAATTATTCTTAAATTATAATTACATATTCAAATAAAAAAACGTATTTTCAAACTATTAATTATTTGTTAAAAACCAAGAAAATGAATTAATTTATTGTTACTTATTTATAATCGATGCGTTTTTATTTATGTATAAATAAAATTAATTAAACAATTAAAAATTCAGTTTACATAATTAATAGTCAATTATCACAAAAGATTAAAAAATATTTCCTCTATGAGGAAGCAAAATTAAAATTTTTTAAATAATAAAAAATTATAGTAGAAAATTTAAAATATTAAAATATTTTTAATAATAGAAAAGATTGAAGTGGAATTTAAAAAATTTTTAAACCATAAAATGAGAGCGAGACTAAAAAAAACATGGTTTTTCAGATGTGACTTCATTTAGCTCAGAAGAAATGATGTTGAAAAATTATTCATACGAGCACGGTTTCGATATGTATGATGTAAAAATACTTGCAATTGTTTTTCTACATACATACGACGAAAAAGAACTTGATTATGTACTGAGAACATCTTTCGATACACCGACTAATTCATTGGGAGGAATATTTCAAGGCTACGGTCATTATTATCTACGGGAATGTTTCACCAATCGAATCCCATATATTCAAACTCAAATGTGTCTCGATGAATCCTTCATTAATATTTCTATTCAAAATCCTTACTTTACACCCAAGGTAAAAAAAAAAAACAAATTTCAGAAAATTAAATAAAACAAATTATTCTTTTTGCGATAAAAATTAAATTAATTAAAATTTCCTTATACAATTAAAAGAATTGTACAATTAAAAAAATCGTACAATTTAAAAATTTCAAAATATACCATAAAATGTACGTTTTATAACGAATTTCATCAGTGATTTATTCTGATATTAAAAATTTTTCATAGTGATAAGCTGCAAAATGCACGTTCATTAAATATATTAAAAGAAAAAAAAACAAAATAGTGAAACAAGATTTTACATAATATTCGAAATTTAATATGATGATAATTTTTGATTTATATACCAGTAAAAAGTGCACGTGTGACGTTAAGAGAAAATTATTTTCTGATAGTGTTAGTTTACTATTCATTTGACCAGAGATAAACTTCACACTATTTTTCTCTAATTCTTTGTTATTGAACATTTTATAAAATGACCGTATAGCATAAATAATAATTGCACGTGTCTCGTCTATGCGGGAAATACGAATTTTACATTCAGAAACAAGTTTTATATATTGAATAAAAAAAGAATTTTTTCAAAGTAAAAATTGAAAAACGTTTCTATTGTTTCGAAAATTCATTAATTAATCATTTCCGTTTTTTTTTTTTTTTTATTTAAAAAATACAATTATTTTGAACATTTTATTCAAATAGTAATTTTAATTTATATAATTAATATTGTTGCATTTTTATTTTATATTTTGAAATTAAATTTTTAATTTAAAGTAAAAGTGTTTGATTTATAATTTTAATTTTAAAACATAAAGCTAAATTTTAAATTGTATTGAAAATTGAAATGAAATGAATTGAAAGTTTTTAAATTGAATTTTCAAAAGAATTTCAATTTTTTTTTTTATGGAAAAAGAAATTGTTTTCGTAGGTAACCATACAACGATTTCCAGATTACAATAAAGTACAATTACGTACAAGTGATGAAGTTACAAGATTTTTCTTCGCCACATCAGCGGTAGTTCTATTTTTAATAACTGTAATTACAGAAGCTTCATTTTCTGCTAGGGAGAAATACACTGGAGTCAATGTTAGTAATCAACTTTTGGAAATTCTTCATTAATTATTTAAAAACAATTTAAAAATATACTTTTTATAACAAAAAAAAAATGAAAATAATTACCGATTTTCCAGATATTAATGAATTTAAAGGGAATACAGTTTTATGAGAATTTATTCAGTTGGCTAGTCACTGGTACATTGCAGGGAATATTTTTCTCAACTCTAATTATAATCGTAATGACACAATGTTTTGAAAATCCAATACTTTCTTATGGAAATTCATTCATTATTTGGCTATTTTTCATTTTCCACTTTGGGCATTTAACCGCATTTGGAATGCATTTCTCCTCTTATTTTTCAAAGAGTAAGTTTCTTACTTTTTTTCTCTCTTCATTTCAATACTTTTTATCCAATTATTACTTTTTTAATTTAATTTGAATTTTTACTTTCTTATTATTTAATTAAAATTTTTTTTAAAAAAATTTTAATTTTTTTAATTTTAATTTTTTTTTTGAAAATTTTTTTAATCAAATTATTATATTTGAAGAAAGAATATTTTCCTGTATTAAAAAAAAATATTAACAAAGTTGACAAAATAAAATTTTGAAATAAGGCAATTTTTTTTTTAAATAAAGATGCTCATAGAAGATAATTATTAGGAAGTAATAAGTAAACAATTTTTGTAGAATTAAAAAAATATACTACAATACTATATAAATATACGTCATTATAAAAAAACTATTGTATTTTTGTAATTGTTTGCTATGCTCTTTATTACAGCTCTAACAATGGAAATTGTTATTTCTATCTTGTACGTAGGATCTTCTATGTTTCAAGCGGATTTAATAGATAGTTATATATTTGCATTGATACCATACTTGGGAATCGTTTTTCCGAATATATTATTATTCAGAATGTTTCAAGAAATGGACAATTATGAAATATTAGGTATAGATTTTAATAAATAATTTCTATAATATTATGAAAATGATTCTATAGAGAAAATAATTGATACACGATCGCAATAATATGAGGCCTCGGGTGTAAAAATAATTATTCAAGTCAAAATGTTCTAAAAGTTATTTTTAATTTTACTAATTTATTATTTATTTATCATTTTTTGTTTCTTATGATAGAAAATTTGTAATCTTCGATCTTATGTTAGTTGGAAACGAGTACCATGACGACACTAAAAAAAAAAGTTTTTGATTTTGAAAATCCAAATTTTGATTTTGAGAAACGTGGATTTTTCGAAAAACCTACGCGAATCGTCTTTAAGTTTTAAAAAAGGTGTTTCAATCCTACAAAACGTTCTTTATTCATATGAAAAATTGCGTTTTGTCCAAATAGACTGAAAAAACCTTCCAAAAATTAAATTTCAAAAAAATCGTATCCTATTTTGTTAAAATTAATCTAAAATAATGATCAGATTTAATTTTTAAATTATTTAAACAATTTTTAAACTCGAGAATCTGTTGTACAATCCAAGGCCTGTAATTTTGCACCGTCTATCAAAAAATTATCAGAAAAAAAATTTATGCAGTGTGAAATTTGATCACATTACAATCACTAACTTTTTTTCCAACCTCATTGAATTTAAAAACACAAAGTTTGCACATTTGCAGCGATGAATAATTTTTCATTAACCAATCAACTTTTCCAAAATATCAAATTATTACTAAGAGTGTTAATACACTTTTATTAATAATGAATCAAGATTTAAAAATTAATAAAAAATATTTTTTTAGCGATTGGGGTTCAATGGAGCAGCATGTTTAAAGTTTCAGATGTACCTTACTCGGCGGCAGGAAGTATTGGTGTTATGATAATTTTTTCCCTACTAGGCACTGTTCTGCATTTTGTTTCATCTGTTTACGTTAATGTTGTATTCCCCGGAAAATTTGGACTCAAGCATCATCCATTTTATCTTTTACAAGTAAAAACAAAATTTCTTCGACGCTTTAATTCTATTTTTATAAAAGAACAAAAAAAAAAAAAGATAATCAAAATTCTCTTTTACAGAAAAAGGAGAATATTTACAAGGAACTAGAGGAAGAATTAGATGAATTTCATTATGCAAATGATGATGGAAAACCTTTTGAAAACGTACCAAAAGGTATTTTCACTCCTGGTATTCAAGTTCGAAATGTTAAAAAATCATATACAACAAATTTCTTTAATAAAAAGGTATCGATAAAATTCAAACAAGAGCATAATCTTCTTCACCTATAGAAACTATAATTTTTTCATCAAAACAGAAAATTTATACATTTTTCTAAAATTATATTTAGGAAAATGATGCTTTACATGGAATATCGTTGGATGTTTATAAAGGTCAAATCACAACATTATTGGGACGTAATAGATCGGGAAAAACCGCATTGATGTCAATATTAACAGGTTCTTATCGTAAACAATATTTTTCATTTCTTACGCAACTCTGAATGCCTCTTTTTTAAATTCTCTTCAAAACTGAAAAAGATTTTGTTCAACTTTCAAAAGAAAACTAATTTTCCGCATTTCTGAATTAGGAATTTCCGAACCAAACGAAGGAGTCGTTTTTATAGACGGTAAAAGAATAAACGATTTCTTTAAATATTCCTCAACAGACTTAAGTTTTTGCCCTCAGGAAAATATGTTTTTTCTTGATCTAACTGTGATGGAGCAAATCGAATTCTTTGGATTGGTGAGTCATGCACGATAAGCATTATAAATATTATTGTTTATATTTTCAAAAAAAATTCCATTTCAAGAAAAAAAAATCACATTTTTCACAGCTCAATTCAATAAACAAATCAGAAGATGAACGCAAAATGTTATCTTTCAACGTTGAAAAATTAATGAAAAGACTCAATATTTATGATAAACGACATTCTTTTCCCAAAGAATTATCTTTCAGCGAACAAAGGAGATTGTGTCTTGGAATTTCATTAATATGCGATTCAAAAGTAAGATCCCCCTCCTTTCTCAAAAAATCAAATTAAAAATCAAATTTAAAATTTAATTTACAGATTTTAATTTTGGATGAACCAACATCAGGAATGGATTCAGAGAGTAAGAGAAATACCTGGAATATGCTACTGGTGACTATCAGAATTTTCATTTCATCTTATAAATATTTATTTGCATAAAAATGATTTAACATTTTTTATAATAAAATAATAATCTCTAACAATAATCAGGATATGAAAGGGGAGAAAACAATTTTAATCAGTACAAAAGATACAGAAGAAGCAGACACACTAAGTGACAAGATAGCAATTCTTCATCTAGGAATATTAAAAGGCTACGGGACATCGACATTTTTGAAAAAATTATACGGTTGAATATTCCTACAAAACTATTTTTTATACAATGTTATTACAATATTATTTAAATACATACAAAACAAAAAGAAAAAAAGAGAAGAAAATTAAAAATATGAAATTGTATCCAATAAATTTTTTACAGGTCAAGGGAATATTGAAGTAACACTCTCAGTAACAACATGGTGTAATACAGAATCAATAAGACAAGAATTGGGTGTACAAAGTGAACTTTTGAAATTAGAAGATGAAATAATGACACTTTGTTGTCCCTGTTCGGAAAAATTGTTCGAATCTTTGGACAGAATTGAAAATCAAAAGAGGGAATTTGGTGTTATATCCGTAAAAGTCTCACTCATTACACTAGAACAAGTTGTCCTAAAGTAAGAAATTTTTCTTTCCTATTTCATAAAATTTAATATTCCTGTTGCGATTTTTTAACTTCCCGGAAAAATTCTAACAGTATCTTTGAATTACTAACAGGACTTTTATCTTCTTTAATTGTTAACTGTATCTATTAAAAATTTTTTAATCTTCCAAATTTTAAATAATATTTCAAAAGGAGTGTTTAATATACAAAATAATAATAATAACAAAAAATTTCTCACCATTTTTAGAGTAACGAAAAAAGAAGAAGATATCGACTTGACTCGACCTTTCGTCAATTCAGCCTATAAATTAAAAGACCGGGAACTATTAAGACAATCTGCATTTGCACTAATAGAAAAAAATGTCACATTCATTAGAAGAAATTTGAAAATTTTCCTCCAAATGGTGAGCATCATTTAGTGTATAAAATAATTCCTTCCTCCGCTTGTCTTAAAGAATAATCAAAACATTAATTTCAGATGGCTTTCCCCTTAATTAGTTGCATATTCATGATAATGAATTTTTCCTCAATGAATACAGAGAAAGAATTAAAATACATGGCCCTAGATATCTATAATGAACCACAAGTTTGGCTTGCCACAAATAATAAGACTTTTAGTCGAGAAACAATATCGTACATCAGTCATTTTGGTGCAAAATTGAAAGAAATTGATCAAACAACAAATATGAACGAAGGTGAGTAAAAATAGACAAATTCTTTCATTTCCAAAAAAAGAAAAATAGGTGAAAAATATTTTAACGATAAAATGATTTTTTAGCACTGATAAAATTTTCATCAAAGGATGTTACAACATTTCGTAATAATTTAGTGACCGCTATTGAATTCAACATGACTGGAAGATCACTAAATGCTAATGCTCTTTATTCAGAAACGGCAGGTTTCAGTCTACCGATTGGAATGAATATCATATCAAATACACTATTGAAAACATTATCTGGAGATGAATATACAATTAGTATATCAGATCATCCTCTACCAAAATTAAGATCATACACCTCGTACGATTTATTTACACTATCACTATTATTCACATTCTTCCTATTTCCGGCTATAGCATTCTTTGGAATATTTCCATCGCAAGAAATTTCCTCTGGCCTAAAACACCTGCAAACAATGACCGGAATTCCATCGTACATTTACTGGGGTTGTCAATTTATCGTCGATTTCGTGGTTTTTCTCATTTTAATTATTTTCTGTCTCATTGCACTTTCAATTGTCGACCATGTCGTTGGCCTGGAAGTTTATTGGTCCACCGAATTGGGTAAGATACTTTTTTTTTAATTAAAAATAATTATTTAATAAAAATTAAAGATTTTGATCCATATTTTGATTTTTGGGTGAAAATCAAAATTGAAATGAGATTTTCAGCATACTGAAATCGAAGTTTTATTTGCAGGTATTATAACATTGATGTTAATATTGCTTGCCCTTAATACTCTACCAATGACGTATATTTTTAGTTACACAAAAATGTCCAAGAATAATGTTGTTTTCACATTAGGATTGATGCCATTCCTATTACGTAAGTTTTGAAAACAATTTTTTCCGGCACATTAAAAAACATTCGTCTTGATATATTATTCACTCAGGAGAAAAATGTATTTTTCACAGTTTTGATAGAGGGATTCTTTTGGCTCTTGGAATTTGAATCCTATCCGTATTACTACAATTTCGAGAGTGAAAGTTACGAAAGAAGGCACAGTACTTTCTTCCATTTTCGACAAGTACAGAAACGTTTCTTTCAACTTATTCCTCACATAAGTTTCTTTCACGGTCAAGTTGCATTTTTAACGACAGCAATTGAAAATGCCCATTGTCGCTATCTAGTGCAACATGACATTGCTGATCACTTTTTTGAAGAGTATTGCGAAGGTAAGAAGAAACTGATTTTTTGTTCCAAATTTTCAAACTCGAAATCATTTACAAAAAAAAATTATCGTTTATAAAAATTTATAATCAACTACAGATCTGGAATGCCATGGAGGTTCCTGTAAAAAAAGTCTTCCATATTTCGGAAAAGATCCAAAATTCTCTCACGCTGAAATACCATTAGAAGAATGTATAACATTTTTGTGTTTAACACCTTTCCTCTACTGTGGCATTTTAGCAGCAATAGAGAATAAATTCTTTCAAAAATTGTACGCGAAATACTTTATTAAGCCCCAAATAACAAATAATGAAGAAGTGGATGAAAAAGTTAAGGAGGAAAAATATACAGTCGGATTTGAAGTCAATAAATTAAAAGCAGAATGTAAGAAAACAAATTAGAAAACAAATTTTTGAAATGTTCTAATCCTTCTAAAATATTGTATTTCTCTTCAATTTTTTTTAAAGGTGCTTCGAAGAAAGCAAACAAATTAGTCACCGAAAGAGTTGAGGATGATACTGCATTTCTAGCCTTCGAACTCAATAAATCTTGGAAAACAAAACAAATAATAAAAGACGTTAATTTTTCCGTTAAATCTGGCGAATGTTTCGGATTATTAGGTGTTAACAGTGTGGGAAAAAGTACAATCTTCAAAATAATCACTGGTGAAGAATTATCGGACAATGGTGACATGTTTTTAAAAGGATACGGTATAAACTTTGACAGAAAAGAGGTAATTTCATCCAAACAACCAAAAATACATTTTCACGCATCAAAAACTATTATGACAAATTCAGAATTTTGATTTTTGATATTTAAATTTAAGATACAAGATCTTTAACCTTTTTACAGTATCTATCACAAATAGGCTATTGCCCTCAAAATACGGCTCTAATTGATTCACTAAATGCAAGGGATCATCTTCGATTATTTACCCAAATAAGAGGAATGCCAAAGAATCAAGTTAATCTCGAAGTTGAGGAATGGATCAAAAGATTAAGTATACAAAAAATCATTAAATACATAGAAATTATCGATTATTTCTAGAAAAATAAATGTTATTTCTATTTTAGATTTAAGTGATTGTGCCTCTGAACCATGTTACACGTACAGTGAGGGAAATAAACGATGTTTAAATATTGCCATGGCCTTCATTGGTCATCCCGATTTAGTATTATTGGACGAACCGACAATTGGAATTGATCCAGCGTCAAGGAAATCATTCTGGAATATGCTCAAATCATTTTTGAGAGCCGGACAATCTGTTATTCTCACATCTCATTGGTATACTATTTATAATTTATAAACTTTTCAAAATCGAAAATAGAAATTTGAATTTACTAATGGCAAAATCTTGGATCGATTTTGAATTAAAAAAAAGTTAACATCAGTGGAGTTTAAAAAGAAATTTTAATTTTGCGAATCAAGACTTAAGACTAAGGTTCAAAATTTCAAAATTTAATTTCAAGAATGAAAATTTTTATTCTGGAGATGTGGTCTTTTATGTACCAAAAAAAAAACGTTTAATAATTTAGAGCAAAATCAAAAAATGACAAAGTTTTATTTTTCAGTATGGAGGAATGTGAATCTCTTTGTAAACGATTGGCCATATTGGCGAAAGGTCAACTAGTTTGTATCGGTACAAGTGAGGAATTGAAACAACGTTTCGGCACTGGATACAATATTATAATAGAACTAAATCCAGAGCATGCTGATGCTCAAACAAACGCACTAAAATATGATCTAGAAAATTCTATAAACTGTGAAATTCGCGACGTGCATTTGGTAAAAGAAAACAAAAGAATTTACATAAAAATAAATTTTATTCTTCCACTATTTTTTTTAGTAATACAATACGAAATATTATGATATAATACTATAATAATATCACTAAAAATAGTGGAAGAATTAATTTTAAAAATACATCTTGCTTCCTGATACAGGAAGGATTGTATTTGTTTTAAGATTTTTAACGATTGTATAAATTGTATTAAGAAATAAAATTTTTTTCAGAGTAACATCACCTACTACGTGAAAAATTCAGAGACAACGTGGAAAACAATGTACGACTTAATGAAACGATTACAACAAAAATATTCCTGTATAACGGATTTCACAATTCTATCAGCAACATTAGAACAAGTGTTCTTGCGATTCGTCAAGCTCAAAGGATAATAGAAGAATTTTTTCCCAAAAAAAAACTTATAATTTTCCATACCAAAAATTTTTAAGTTTTAAATTAAATTAAATCACAATAGCTTTTAAGGTCACTCTCAAGAATATTGTCATATCTTCATTTTTAATTGAAATCACAAGAAAAATTTACCCTTTTATCAAAATTTGTGTTTTCACAATTACAAAAATCAAACAATGACAAAAAAATACAAAAATCAAGATTTATGAAAATGTTAGTACAATAAGGTGCATTACAACAGAAAATGAGAATATGTAAAAATTGTGCTTGTATTTTATTATAATGTATGAATCTCATGCGTGAATTTCAAATGGAATCTCTGTCTCTCTCTCAAATATTGTAATTAATTATTTTTTAAATATATTATAAATGTTATAAATTAATAAAATGCCATTTATTCTTTAATACGATATGAAAAGTTATTTATTAATAAAAACTTTTTCCAAATTTTTTCCCAAACAAATAAATATTTTTATTCTTTTTAAATTCAACATTATTGTCAAAAATTGAATAATTTAACAATTACATTAACTTAAATATTTTTAAAATTCCCACGAAAATTTAAGACGTGAATTATTATTTTTAATTCCCCTATATTTATCATTCTCATTGATTGTAAATACATAATAGTGAAAACAAAATATTTTCTCAATTTATACCATTTGATACCCTCTGTCTCTCTCTCTCTCTCTCTCTCTCTCTCTCTCTCTCTCTCTCTCTCTTTTCGTTGATAGAAAAAAATTCCATTTTAAAGTGAGATAGATTTCTGTTATTATATTATTGTCACGTTAGAAACTTATAATTGAAATTATTGACAAAAGCGAGAGATCAAAATTTCTAAACGTTGAGAACGTCTCTTTATTAACTCAAATTAATTTTAATCAAACAATTTTATTAATTATTACAAAACTCACGAGAAACTGAGGTAAGAATAAATTTACTAATTTTACGTTGCAAAATAATTAAAATTTTAATTTTAATTTCATACGAGAAAAAATTATTTTCTTTCACAAACAAATCGCATTCAAAGAAAAATGTTATTAAAAATAATTTTTTTTTTAATAAAAATTTTAAACTATCAAATTGAAAATTAAAAATTAAAAATTAAAATTAAAAATTGAAATTCCTTAAAAATAATTAAAGAATCACTAAAACAAAAATTATTTTCTCCGCTGATTAAACAGCAGAAAAGGAAAAGAATAGCGCAACAATGTACGGGAGCATTAGAAATACGACAGTAATTGACAATTTAAAATTAATTCACATCAGTTGGGATTTAAATTTCATGGATGTTGTGATTGCAACATTGGAGGAATCACCATTTGAAGTGACATTAAAATCGAGAGCATTTAATTTACCAAATTACAATGGACCATTGCGTATACATTTAAAATGTATGGAGAGAATTGCCGGTGTTGTTCGTGAAAAGTGATGGCGGTCGTCCCGAAGATAAAATTGTTGACGACATTATTATAAATTGTTCACAATATAATTGTTCGTGGGCAAAGAATGTTTTTCAAATTGGAAATACAGTGAAAAATTGTCCATCAAAATCATTTGAATTATTTCTACGTGAATTAAAAATATGTAAAACTTTAATATTGGATATTACATTATCGGAAATTAGAAGTACGCAAATCATTGAAAAAGCATAAATTAATTCATTAAATAATAATAATAATGTAGCTTTATATATTTTTGTTTGCAAGAAATATTTAATTATTATATTCAAATATATTATTCTCTTTTGACAAAAAGATATATTATAAATTATCTTTTATGTGATAACGACATTTATTAATAATTAATATTATAATGAATAAAACTCTTCGTGTAAACATACATTTAATGTTGTAAATTTTTATATTATTGATATCACGCGCTGAAATTACGGTTGTAAATAATGTAATAACAATAATAAATACAACTTTTTCCGAAAAACTGATATTTTTATTATTGATAATAAATGTTAAATAAAAATAGAAATAAAATGAAAACAAATAATTTTTATTAAATTTTTTGTAAATAATTGAGAGAAATTTTATTAAAATCGTATTGAAAAATAATTATAGATTTCTGTGAAGAATTTTATTATTTATAAAAAATAATTTAATTATTCTTGCGAAAAGATTTTATTCAATTTTTTAAAAATAATTGCATTCTTATAAAAAATTGAACAAACACTTTTAAATTAATAATTGATTTCTTTCGAAAAATTTAATTAAAAATTATTTAGAAAATAATAATTAATTAGTTAATTAATAAGTGAATTTTAAAAAATGTTGAATCTGAAATTATTCAAAGATTAAAGTTGATATTTGAAAATAAAAGCTTTTGCAATTTGCTGAACAATAATTTATATAATAATTTCTAATAATTAATAATATTTATTAATTAAAAAAATTATTAATTAAATTAATATCTTCTAACTCGAAAATTAACAATATCCAAATTATTTATTTAAAAAAACGATTTTAGTTCAACTGCTAAATTTAAATTTCACGCCAAGATGAAGAGGGGTTTCAATACCCTGGTGAGCGTTACAGTGTGTACACACCATTAGTTTTTGAATTTCTAACCAAAGTTTCCTATCTTAAAGAAATCAATTATTCATGACTAAAAAGTTTGTAAACGCACGTGGTCAATTTTTGTCTTGGACACACGTGTTTTGATTAATTTCAATAAATAATTTATCACTATAATATTCCTCCTACAGTTTAATATTTTAGTTTAATAAGAAATAAGAGTGAACTTAAGTTAAAAGCATCCAGTAATGTTGAAATCAAAGCTTTAAATTTACTTTCATAACAAGTTTACATAAAAGAAATAAAATGGGTTTGACGAAACAATATTTACGCTATATTCCAGCAGGAAATTTAAACATTATCGCCAGTCAAAATTGTAATATTGTTTTTGTGACATTAGAGGGACAGGAAGGTAGATTTGTTGCTGCCGGTGCAAGTGAACATGTCTTTATTTGGGATCTTCGACTTGGAGAAAAAGTATTTCAAATTCTTTTATTTATTTATCTACTTTTATTTATCTATATTTATTCATTTCTATTTTCACTGTTTATTTACCTCTATTTTCTTTACTTATGTTTTTATTTAATTATTTAGCTTTATTTATTTATTTATTTTTACATTTATTTAATGAATTATTCACCCTTTTTATTAATTATTAAACTACCTATTATAAATTTATCTATTGTAATTAATCTAATTACGTAAAAATATTCTAGGCTCAAGTGTTGTCGGGAGAAAAATCAGATGTCACGCATTTGGCAGCGTCACCAAATAAAAGACACATTGCAGTCGGATATGCAGATGGGACAATAAAAACATTTGATTTACGCTCTGGAGAAAATATCAGTATTCTAGTGGGACATCGTTCGGAAATAACAACATTAGCTTATGATTCTTTGGGACATCGATTAGCATCCGGTTCAAAAGTATGATTCAATTTTCCTTTTTTAATTGTTTTCTAACTTGATCAAATTAATTATCTTCTATATTTTGAAATGAAAACAATTCCTTCAGGACACAGATATTATTTTATGGGACGTTGTGGCAGAAACGGGAATATGCCGATTGGTAGGACACAAAGGAATTATTACTGCCCTGTCGTTTATGAACCATCACAATATTCTCATAAGTTCAAGTAAAGACACTTTCGTGAAATTTTGGGATCTTGACACGGAACACAATTTCCGAACACTTGTCGGTCACGGTTCAGAGGTAAAAAAATAATTAAGAATTTTCTATATTGCAGTAGATAGAAAAGTAGATTTAATTTAATTAATAATTTAATTTAATTAATAGGTAGATTTAATTTAAAATTCTTTATTTCAGGTGTGGGGCTTCGTCTTGGTGAAAGATGGTAAATATTTAATAACCGGCTGCAGTGACAATGAATTACGTGTTTGGAAAATATATTTTGTCGATCCCTCCGAACTCGAAATTTCCAATACATTGAAGAATTTAATGATAACTGACGATAAAGATACAACTGACACGGTAAAAATTCTACATTCATTTATTTTAGTTATTGTTTTTTTTGCTAACAATGTTCGTTTCTTCAGAATTATCCATTACGATGTGAAAAAATTGGAAGCATCACTAGAGCCGGTAGAGGAAGACTCGTTTCGATTCGAACGGATTTGACAGAAAGGGTAATTACTTGTCATGGCACTGACAATACTGTTGAACTTTTTTACATTCTGTCGGAAGAGGAAGCAAAAGAGAAATTGGGAAAAAGAGTGAAAAAGGCGAGGAAGAAAGCTGTCGCGTAAGAATGAAAATATTTTCCCAAAATAATTATTTTTTTTCTTTTTTCCAAATATATTCCTCCTTTTTCTATTTAACTTTTTTCTATTTGTTATTTTCTCTTTATTTAGAGAAGGACTGTCAGAGATTGTCTCCACAGAGCTCAGTATAAAAGACGAATTAAAAAGACTTCCCACAATTGAAATAAAAGTCGCGAATAATATGAGGCAAACTAATAAAGTAAAGAGTGTCGATTTAGTAATGGGAAGAAGTGACGAATTAAGAGTTTGCGTTGCAGGAAATTTCAACAGCATCGAACTTTATTCGACCGAAATAATAACAAAAAAGGAGGGCGAAATAAATTTCCTCCGTTCTCTAACTAGTCACGGACATCGAACAGACGTGCGGGCAATTTGCTTCAGTTCTGATAATTTAGCACTGGCAACTGCAAGCAGCGATTCCATTAAATTATGGAACAGGTAGAAATTAATTTCTTATTTCTTCTTTGTCCTAAATTCACAAAATAAATATTTTTTCTTTTTTTATTTGCAGACCAACATTAGCGTGTTTACGAACAGTGACATGTGGCTATGCGCTAACAATGACATTTGTCCCCGGAGATAGACATTTAATTGTTGGAATGAAAGATGGAAAAATGCTCATTGTTGACATTGCTTCGGGCGAAATTTTAGAAGAAATTCCCGCTCACTCGAAAGAACTCTGGAGTGTTACTTTATTTCCCGATATGGTAAGGAAAATAAGAAACTTTTACAGAAAAAACTGGATAAAATTACTTTATTTGATAATTATTCTTTTAGAAAGGAGTTGCCAGTGGTGGAGGAGATCAAACAGTGAAATTTTGGCAATTTGAACTAATCAACGATCCTGATAGTGAGTCGAAAGCAAAAATTCTCTCAGTTGTACATTTACGAACACTAAAACTAGAAGAAAGCGTTTTGTGCGTGAGAATCAGTCCCAACAATAAATTTGTTGCTGTCGCACTTCTCGATTCGACAGTCAAGATATTTTTCCTCGACACATTCAAGGTGAATTACAAATTTAATATTTTTTATTCAATATTTCTAATTTTTTTTTTATCTATTTTTAATTAATTTTATTCTAATTCAAGTCATTTTTTTTATTACTACATAGAAGTTTAGAAGTAGTTTTTTGTATTGTAAGTTTTTAATTAATTTTTCGAATTCATTACTTAAAAATAATTTCAGTTTTGGATTTCTCTTTACGGACACAAACTCCCAGTGCTTTGTATGGACATTTCGAGCGATTCAACTCTAATTGCAACTGGTTCGGCTGATCGTAATATAAAAATTTGGGGCATGGATCACGGCGATTGTCACAAGTCAATATTCGCTCACGACGATTCCGTCACCGGTTTGGCATTCGTGCCCAAGACTCATTATTTCTTCACGTGCGGCAAAGACGGAAAACTCAAGGAATGGGACGCAGACAGTTTCCAAAAAATTATAACCTTCCAGGTAGAGAACAATTTAAATTCAAATAAAATTTAAATTCCAATTAGAAAAAATAATTTTGAAAAACAATTTTTAGGGACATTCGGGCGAAGCTTGGAATTGTACAGTTTCTCCAAATGGAGTTTTCGCCGCTTCCTGCGGATCAGACAAAGTCGTGAGAATTTATGAAAGATCGCAAGAAACTCTTGTTCTGGAAGACGAGGCCGAGGAAGAGAGAGAACGACAGGAAAATGAATTGGCCACGGGGGAAAATACTGTTGTTCCGGGACAGAAAGCACAAATTTTGCCCTCAAGAAAAACCGTTTCTAGCGAGAAAGGAGTAAATATTTTTTTTCTATTCTCTATTTGAATATTTATTTGTACTTAAAATATTTTTCGATTCTCAGTTTTAAATCCACATATTATTACAACCATATTATTGTTACCAAATTACAGGCAGATTTACTACTGGAATGCATAGAACTATCAAAAGAATACGAAGATCAACTTTTAGCAGTTGAACCTCCAAATCCTCCACCTCCTTTACCTTTGCAAATGCAAATGTATCAGTGCGAAACAGTGGAAGACTATCTTTTAGAAACAGTAAAAAGAATTCGTGCCAGGTAAGAAAAAGAACTTATTAAAAATATATTATGTATTCCTTAAATTAAAAAAACACGAATTAAAATAATTAATTAAAACATGAATTTTCAGCGATTTAGAGGAAGCTTTGTATGTTTTACCATTTTCGGTAGCATGTGATATACTAAAAATGTTGCCAAAATTACTAAAAAGAAAATATCAAGCGGAAATAGTGTCAAAATTAGCCATCACTTTAATTCGTACACATCACAATCCAATTGTGGCAAGTGCCAATCTTTTGGCAATCGTCGAGGAAATTAAGACACTTTCAATTCAACAAATCACCTCCCTTCGAGTAAGTATTAATTTACAAGACAATTTTTCAAAATTTAGAAAATTAAAAAATTGAATTCTATAATAAAAAATATTAAAATTTAAAATTCTGAATTTATCGAAATTTTCTTTAACTTTATTTTTTCGTTTCTTCAAAAACAGGATACGACTGCATTTAATTTTTATGGAATGCTCCACACACGTCACTCGATTGAGGAAAAAGAGGGAATTCAATTATTTACCGATGCAACTCATAAACGAAAGGAGAAGCAAAAAATAAGAAGAAATAAAGAACGAGCACAAAAACGGGCTCTTATGACTTTGTAAAAATTTATGTTTTAAACTAATGTAAATATGTTTTTAAATTTAAAACAATTTATTAAGTTTATTTTCTATCGTTAATTTCAGTTTTTTTATGTAACGTTCTTATTTTCTAAGACAGCTTTTGATAATTTTTTGAACAAATAAAAATTGTTTCAAAAGAATAACAAATTATTTATTATTAATCATACAATTTTATCTATTTCGTCGATTTCGTCTTCGAAAGTGAAAATATTAAACATAAGTCAAAAGTTCATCTACCAAAATTTTTTAAATGTTCAAGATTTCAAAGTCAGTTCGATATTTTAAATCGACACCAAAGTGAAAGAAGAGAGGGAGGGGAAAAAAATCCAAACACGTGGAGAACATAACCTATTAAAAATGTTTTCAGTCTCGAAAATGTGAAACTTGGTGAAAAGTAAATTAAAAGTTTTCCCATAGAGAAAATATAAATTTCTTTTGTAAATTATTACGTGAAATCCCTTGACATGTTTTTCTACCATTAGCTTTAGAAAATCGATAAAGACACGAGAGGAAAAAGCGCAAGCGTAAACGCCTGCTGTCGACGCAAGACTTTTAGAAAATATACACAATTTCCTCAGCTGTCATTTGCAAAACAAGCTCTTTTTGTTCTAAAAAAAAGAAAACAAATTCAAAGTGTCAATTGTTATTAACGTAGTCTTCCGTAATTATTTTGTTTTCCTTCTAATTTTTAAATAATCAAACAAAAAGAAACAACAATTTCCGAAACAAATGGCTTTTGACAAAAGGACGAAAATTTATCTTGGCTTTGAGGATGAATATGTTACTGACAAAAATCGAAGTCTAGTCAATTTTATGACTGATAAAATCGGTGGGAAACCAGTAAGTAAAATTTTTAAAGTACAAAAAGTTATTTTTTTTTAAATTAATAATTAAAATAAACTATAATTCATAGAAATTTCAAAGTACAAATTAAAGTTTCATTATTTTTTTATTTCTATAATAAATTCGAGAAAATTGAAAAATAAAATTTTTCTTGCGTTAAAAGAAAATTAATTAGATTTTCAATTTCCAGGATTGGCACAATGACAAAACGATAACCTCCCCCCAGTGTCGATTGTGTGGATTACATCAAATTTTGGCATTGCAAATTTACGCCCCATTAGAAAATTCCAAATATCATCGAACACTTTATATTTTCGCTTGTACAAATCCAAATTGTTGGAATCATAATGAGAGTTGGACATGTTTAAAAGTACAATCACTCGATGAATCGACAAATTCCGAATCAATGGAATGTGGAAGTTTAGCAATTCCACCAACAACGAGTTGGTTGCCCGACGAGGACGATTGGGGTGATACTTGGAATGATAATGGACCCGAGGAAAATGGAAATAATATGCTTCAAAATGATCCCAATAAATTTAAATTCACAAGACAAAATTCAAGTTTCGAGGACGATTTAAATGTTGATTTTTCGGATCTCAGAGTCGACGATCCAAACGCAAACAGGTAAATAACAAAAATAATATTAAAAATTCATTAGAAAAATTCACTAACCTTGTAAAATTTAATTATCCTTGATGAGACATCACTTTTTTCTTCAATTTCTTCCAACACTTTTTTTTATATTAGAGGAAAACACCACTTTTTCGTCTAAATTACTACTAACTACTAAACTAATTTAAAATAAACTTTTTAATTGAAAATCACTATTTCTAATCTAATGAAACTTTACTTTTCTTCCAATTGTTTCTATCAGGAATTTTCCGTCTGTAAAATAAAAATTTTAAAAAATCTTAATACCAAATCCCTTTGCGGACAGTAATTTATTTTGAAATTAAAAATTATTAACATTAATAATAAAAATATTAATTGAATATAAATATAAAAATTATTAATTGAACATTATTATTAAAAATATTAATTATTATTATTGGAAAGATAAACAAGTAAACAATTTCAAGGTTAAAAGAATTGTAAAATAAAAATAAATATTTTCCCCGAATCAATGTGCAGATAAGTTAATAAATTTTTATTATATTACTTGTCGAATTATCCCATCTGTCAATTTTTTGAAATAAAATTCTAATTCTAGATTTCAAGAATTTGAGAAAAATCAATAGTTTATTCAATTTGAAGAAATGGAGAAAAAAAAATAATTCCGTGAAATAAAATTTTTTCGTTGCGACGTTAAATAAATCAATGTTTCTATTGTTAAATAACGAAACTAATAGGAAAATTGAGCAAATAATGTTAACATATATCATCCATAACAAGTATAAAAATTACGATTGTTGCCTTCCCCCCACTCGACAAAATCTACTCATGGAACATCATAAAAAGGAAAGATGGCAGAGAAAACTTTTTTTCGACAAAATTTAATAACCGTTTAGCTAATTATTAATAACTGCGAAATTCGTTTACTTATTTAATCATTTTTCAAAGTTATTTTTTACTTTTACTAACGAAAAACCAAGAAAATGCCGACTTGTCTTTGTCTTTTGACTCCAATCCCGCTAAATTGACAAAGTACGACAAATAACCTCAAAATACATGTAAATTATTTTTGTGCAATAATACTCCAAATTTCCCCAACTTATTACATTTTTACAATTGAATTAATTATTCAACAATATTTCTATCAATCCTATCAACAATGGAAAAAAGAATTAGGAAAAGTTAACCTTTTTCTTGGATTCCAATGAAAGTACGCCATGAGCAATGAGACGCGGACATTGCTCACAATTGGCGTCGCTTTACTCAAATTTTCTCACGTTTTTGATATCCAAACCATAATTATCGCGAAATATATTACTAATAACACTTAATTTTGCAAAAAACAAAGAAAACTTGATGAAATAACGATTACGATTGCGCGGATGCTAACGGAAAATGCTGGGAACGCACTGGAGACGAAAGACACTAGAAGCAAAACTAAAATGGCGTCGGTCTGGTCAGGTTTGCCAACATGAACGCGCAAAACTCACGTATTTCAAATGTAAAATAACGGTATTTCTAATAAATTTAACAATTTCGTGGGGGAAATAATTTTTTTCTTGATTATTTAATGTATTTTTGCATTCATTTATTATGAATTTTCTTCTAATACCTTAAATCAATAAAAAAATAATCAAGAATGAAATTTCAATTGTTGCCTTCCCCCACTCTGGACAAAATCAACTGTTGTCGAAAAAATTTTTTTTTATCAAGGTCAAGAATGAAATTCGTATAATAAATTATTAAGTAACGAAATTTGATTAACTTGGACGCAATTTTTCTAATGGAATTATAGAAAAAATAGCCGAGAGAGGCGACAAAAAAGAACAAGAAGTCCACACAAAAATAAATGACTCAAATGCCATGACAAAAGGAAACGGAATAATGTTTCACTCAAATGGCGTTGATTTTCTCAAATTTTCATTCGTCTCTTAATCAGAAATAGTAAAAAATGGAAAAATAATGAAAATAGCGTGTAATTTTATGAGAATATTGAAAAATATCGAAAAATTTACTCACGATTTGTGCGTCACGTTCGCCCGCGTATTCCGAGAATCCGTTAGACAATGAGCGGTGATGGTGGGAGGAAAGAGAAGCGTTCTAAACCGGAAATAAAATTGAATCAGGCTAGCCAACCGTACAACGCCAACGGCGAATTTTTCAAAATTCACTAATTATATTTAACAAATTAAACAGTAAAAAAATTAATTTTATTGATTCTTTTATTTATTTATCTTGCGTACTTTGTAGAATTAAAAGGAAAAAAAGTATTTAATACCGGAATTAATAAATATATTTTGAATTGGATCTTTGAATTTATTTTCTTAGGTTGGACAAACTACCGGGAAAATTCAAATTCAAATCAGTGAATTCTGAATTTAAATACAAAAATAAAATTTGTTTCGATACTTGTAAATCAAAAAATTTATTCTCGTATCTAAAGTGATTTATTAATAATAAAATTGTTAATCAATTAATTAATTATTGACTAATTAACAAATAAAAGAGTAATGATAAATAAATAAAGGAATAACAAAAAATAAATTATTACTATTTAAATCAATTGTTACCAACTTGTTGAAATTAAATTAAATAAATAAACTAATTACTTAAAATAATATTCAATTTAATTAGTACTTATTTTTTATTATAAATTATTGTGAATAATTAATGAAAAAAATAATAATTAATGAATAAAATAATTTCTTTGAGCAAACAGTAAATAATTGATAAATAAAAGAATAATTAAAAATAAAGACTAATAGTAAATAAATTAATAATAATAATAAAAATAAATAATAATAAATAATAAATCAATATTACTTTCAAAATAATAAAATTCATTGTTCAAAGTAAAGTTTATTAATTTTTATCTAAAATTCAATTTGGAAGGTAAATTTTACTAATAATTTACTAATTTTACCAAAATAATAAAATTTATCCCGAAAAGGAATTTTTTTATTTTTAACAAAAATTTACTTAGGGAGATAACATTTTATAATTTTTATACAAGAATTTTACGAATTTTTTTTTTCACCAAAATTTACTAAGAAAGTAGTAAAATTTACCTCACATAATAAAATTTTATTGCGGAAAATAATAATTGAAATAAATGCAAAATTACTGTGTAATTTTGTAAATTACGACAAATTTTCTTATAAACCAAAAAAACAATAACTTACCTGGCAAAAAAATAAAAAATTGTTAATTATTTCTTTTTAACGAAAGTAAAATAATTTTTTTTTCCAGTCCAACAAGTGTCGAATCGCCAGTGGGGGGTGGAGCAGTTGGAAAAGTTGATTCTCTTCATGCAACTGCGGAAATTGAAGGCGAAGAAAGTGAAGTTGTTTGCATTGATACACCAACACAACCGCAATGCGACCTAATTAGTTTATTACAGGAAGTCACACCATTACCAATTCATCACAGCGATTCTAGGAATTTATTAAGTTTCGTCGAAATTTTCATCTCAATGATTGAAGAATATTCCCATACGGAAGTGCCTCAACACGTACGCGATCTCTTTCTCGAGTATCAACAAAATGATCCCGATTCATTAATGTCCGAATCATCATCGGCCGATTCAAAAACCACCAACGACACTGGTGTCGAGAAATATGAGAAGAGCATTCCAAAGCATGGCGACGAAATGTTTCACGAACTCATTACGCGAATACAAGAAAATCCTGGACAAATTTTAAGGTAAAAGAACAATTAGTAATTTTATAAATAATAATTAAAATAACTTAATAAATAAATAAATAATAAAATAATAAATTGTTTTTTCTTCTTTAACAAAAAGATACTCGAGAAATAATAGCGCACCTTTATTGCTCTATCCAATGGGCGGTTGTGTGGGAAGATGTCGACATTGCGGCGAAGAAATGACATTCGAACTTCAAATTTTACCGACCATCATTCAAAAATTAAAAATACAATCACGCAGCGAGACGAAATTGAATTTTCAAATTGAATTCGGAACTGTCTTGGTTTTCACTTGTGTGAGAAGTTGTTGGTCGCCAACCGATTCCTATCGGGAAGAACACGTCATTGTTCAAGCTGAAAGACTGTAATAACATTAAAAATTAGACAAATTTTCAACGTTTTTCAATTTACGCAAAAATTAGACAAAGTAAAAAAAAAAGAGTTGTTAATTACAATATTGCCGTCATTAAACCAAGTTCCGTCCAGTGTACAACGGATCTGGGGAGAAAAACAAAACTAATTCAATGAAATTTCTCTGTATAAATATTTATTCGCTTTTAATTCTAGAAAAATCTGTTGCTATTTAAAATTTCTTTCTTTTAAATTCAATTCTTTTAAAAATAATTTTAATTATTTTACTATTAATTTAATTTGAAAAAAAATATTTAAATAAAGAATATTCGCAAAATTAAAAATTGAATGTAGAAAAGGAATTGAAAAATTAAAACAAATAATCGAAACGAAATTCTCTAAGTAAAAAAAAAACAGAAATTTCATACTTGAGACTTTGAGAGATCTTTTTGAAACTGAATTTTTGGAACGTTCCTATTTGACGGCAGATATTTTCTAGAAATTTATTTATTAAGAATTTCAACTTTGCTTGATTTTCTCTGTCATCAAGAGATGTAAAACAAAAATTTATTCCAATATAAATGGAATAGAAAATTTCTTCCAGAAGCATCTGAACTTGAATTTTAAAAGATATAGAATTTATGCTGTTTAACTATATTTTATTTAAAAAAATAAATTTCTATTCGTTTCTTTCAAAATCGAAATCTTTTGTTCTATTTTACCAGTAAAAATACAAAAAAGTTTTTTTTGACAACTTGAAAATTTTGAATTTTTAGAAGAGAAATTTTCGACTTGAAAATTATTTTCTCTAGTGACTGCTAGTGAATTCAATATTATAGTTTATTTAAAAGCAATTATCAGCTATATTTCAATTCTTGGTCTTGAAAAGAATTGTTTAGAGGCCGTCATTTCTATTATTTTTACGTAAATACAATATTAGATTTCACGTGTTAAACTTTAGCGCAGTTTATTACAATTACATCTGATATTTACAACCTGTGTTGTTATGTAATTAAAATAAAATATACTTTCTTGACCTAATTTACTTTTCTTCTTTTTAGTTTTTACCAAGAAAATCAAAAATTAAATCATTTTTTCATATTTATTACGTGAAATTTCTTAAATGCTACATAATTAATATACTATTTACATTCATTGTTTTAAAATGCAATTTGCCTTATTTTCACAATTTCAAAATATTTTGAAAATTTACAAAAAAAAAAAAAATTTTTTAAAAAGTAATTTACCAATTTTTTGTCAGAGGATTCTGTAAGATATACTTTTTCAATTCGTAGGAACGATTTGCAACTGCTGTATAGAATAGATTACCATTTTTAGCTTCGCCATCCAGAAGTTGCTCGTAAAGTTTTTTAATTCTATAATAGGATTTATAAGCAAATGCGATTGATGTTTGCATTTCGTATTCTGAACTTTCAAGACCAATGCAATATGATCTCGATGCACGTCCAAAGCAGGCGGTAATTGCATAAATTAATGATGCAATTTCACTTACTTGATGCATATCAATTTCCTTTGTTACCGCTTCTGCACCATAATTGATTAAAGTTACCTTAATTGCCTTCATCATTCTGCCAATTGATTCCTCGAGAAAGTGAATATGTGGTTGAAACGAAGGATGAAGATTCCCCTGCAATTGAAGTTTTGGAAATGATTCTTCCATTTGAAAGACTTTTCTCATTAATGTCGCAGGATATTCGAAGGGATTACGCATATGTTTCACTTCATCGCCCAACACAACTCCCGCATGCTGAATGCCCAATAATCCAATATAGGTTTTTAAATCATTATTTCCTTGAATGGCGAACATTTGATTTCTCATCACCTGTAAAAATTCGAATTTCTTTATCTTTTTAGGAATCAAATTAAATTCTACGTTAAAAAATTAATTAAAATTAATTATCGAGTGCGAAGTAATAATTTTCAAAAAATACCTGTTCGAATGGAAATGTATTTGCACAGAGATGAGAGTCTAAGATTTGTAAACCTTCGGCTAATCTTGCAATGCATTCTGTGCTGCAAAATTCCTTTGCCACGGCTTGCTCGACAATTAAATCCTGATCATTGTACAAATCTGCAAATGATGTTGTTAAATACGCAATACTTTCCATTGCATACAGCGATAATGTTATATTTGCAACAATTTTTTTCACACTCTCACGTTCGTGCATATTGTACTTTATCACATGTTTAATTAACGAATCTAGAAAACTCCTTAAACAACTAATATAAACGCCCGTTGAGAAATGCAAATTTGTAGTGAAATAATTCTCCAACGATTTCACTCCACCACCGATTTCGCCAATTAAATTCCCATATGGTATAACTGTCTCATTGAAATTAACAGAAAACATATTCTCCGTACCCAGCCAGGGCGATTTTATTGGTATTAATTCACCAACTCCTGGAACTGATTTCTCGACCAAAAATGCTGAAAGTGTCTCTGGTGAACGACGTGCATCGCCACCAATACGTGCAAGTGCATAAACAATAAAAAGATTTGCATTATTGTCCTGTTGAATGAATCGTTTTTGTCCCTTTAAAATCCATGTTTTTTCATCGTGGGACAAATAAGCGGTGGCACTAAGACTATCGGGATCGATACGATCGGAAGATTCGTTAGCGCAAATTACTGGATAATATTCACCTAGTGCAATTTTCCTAAGGTAATTATTTTTCTGTTCTACTGTTGCTTCTTGTTTTAATAATTCCACTGGAAAATTGTTGCATTCAAGAAAATTGATACCAACTTTTGGCACTGTTGAAAGAACTTCAATGAGTCGAAGATATTCTGAATCTAATAAATCGAGACCATCGTAATCGAATGGTATTCGACCGCCATAAATTCCCAATTCTTTGAATTTATCACGTATTTCGGTGGAAAATGAGGGGCTATTGTACACCTGTTCGCCGTCAATTGTTTTAACATAATCCTCGACTGTCTTCAACCACTCGTTAAATTCGTTTGCACGCTGATCTGTCTGGGGCTGAAAGTTTAATGATTTTTCAATTAAAAATGTAAAAGATTGCATTTTTTAGAGTAGTTATTAATTTCGAAAAATATTTTCGAAATCATTTGAAAAGAGAATAAATAAAAAGATTTATTTTGTAAATAAATACATACTTATTTAAAGACTTGCCAAAAAAATTTACATTTTCGAGGAAAAAAAACAAAAGTGAGGTTATGTCACGTGTGACAAGTGCACAATATCACTTGTTATAATTGTAAAAATAAATCGCTCACCTCGGGATAAGTCAATAAATCGGCATTAAATTTTCCAATGAAAAGTTCTTTTAACATAGGTTTAATCTTTGGAAGTTTTGCTTTTGCAATTGGAAATCGTATCCTCTCCGGAAAGGCCAATTCTGTTTCATCAAGTTTTGCTTTTGTCGATTGTCGCAAATAAATTGCCTTTAAGCGTGAACATTGTTGTAACAATGCAACTCTTCTAGTTAACATTTTTATACACTTTATTAGAAATTAATAATTAAAACTCTCAACACTCCATAATTTTAACACAATTGTTTTTGGTTTTCTGTCCTTTTTGCTACAATAATAGCAGACGACAAAACAGACAAAAGCAGGAAATTCAAATAGAAATTTAAAACGATGAATAGTAGGTTTTATTTTATTAAATATAAATAAAAATTTATATTTACAAAACGTAATTATTTGTTTTATTCATCAGCAATTAATTTATTTTAAATTCTTATTTAACTGTATGGTAAATTTTTCAGAAAATTATGAAAATTATTTCGAATTTGCGCGCGCTTTTGAACCAATTAACGAACTTTGCGCATGTCAGCAACACTAACATCCGGTTTGTGTATTTTCTTTAAAATAAACAAGATAACAAGAATATCGTAAATAAAAAGGTAAGAAAGGATTAATAAATATGGGCATAAATATTTTTACAATTTTCCCATAAATAATTACGTATATATATAATATTATGTAATTTAAAGCATTTAAAGAAAATCCATATTTTAATAATAACGTTGATCTTTTGACTAGAGTCGTAAAACGTCAGAAGATTCGTGAAAATGGCGTTGATAATCGGGCGTAGAATGTGAAGTGACATTTCTCCTCTTTTCTCGGCTTTATTTATCAAAAAAAACAAACAGGTGCTTTTTCTTTTTACAAACAGTGAATAACAGGTAAAAATCTTTTTATTAATTAGTCCGAAAAATCATAATTTGTCAAGTAGAATTCAGTTATTGTTTCAACACTGTTCACCTTGTCGGAAAAATTTAATTCCTGTGATTTATGCATTATGAATAATAATTAATCATTCCTTTCTGTCATATACCTGAATTCTTGCAATAATTGAGGTCAAAATGTGGTCATTGCAATTAAATAATTTGTCTCACGACGATCGTTTCATTAATTGTTTCTAAAGAGTGTAAAATAGTTGAGATTCGTTTTTTTGCAGTAAAAAATCTATGCGGAAAAAGAATCAATATTCGCGAGACAAGTGCAATTTATTTGTGTGGATAAATTTGACTATATCTAGATATTGAAAAAATAAGTGGTATTTTATTTCATTACAGATTGTAATTTTTATAAAAAAAGTAGGTGAATTTTTCAAAATTCTTTTTTAATCGTTTAAAAATGAAAAAATTGTTCCGAAAATTATTTTTTAAGTGTTCATAAAAACCTGTCTGGATTTTTCAAAAATGATACAAAATTCAGGTCTCGGATATTTTGACTTTTTTCGACTATTTTCAAAAAATGCGACTTTTTTCAACTTATTTTTAAAAAAGGCGACTTTTTCGACTTTTTTTCCAAATGTAACAAAGTACCATATTTTTAGTATAAAATGCAACTTATTTCGATTTTTATAGTGTGAAAAATAACTATAGACAAATTTTTTAAAATTATATTTTTGAATAATATTTTTACGATAATAAAAATTTTAAAAAAAATATACGTATAATTAAAAAATTTTGGAATAATTGAAATTTTTGTAAAATTTAATTGAAAATAGTTTAGTTTGTTTAAGTATTTTATTACAATTTTTGAAAATCAACTTTTGAAGAAATTTAATTGCAAATTTTGTAAAAATAATTGAATTTTAAAAAAGAATTGATGAAAAATCAAGTGTAAATTTATGAATATGAAAATTAATGAAAATTTGCTTCTAAAAATTATATTAAAAATATTTTAGAAAAAAGAAATTTTTAGAATTTTTCCATTCTAATTTTTTGAAATTTTAAATACGTCAATATTTTCACTTACATATTTCAAAAAATTCAAATAGGCACAAAAAATAATACATTTTTTAGAATTATTTTTAACATTTTGGAGAATTCTTAAAGATTTAATTTTTTAGACTTAATGTTTTAATATTAAAATTTATTTTTCAGCAGCTTATTGTCAAAATGATGTCCGACCGAAAGGCGGAACTGGAAAGAAAAAAGGCAAAGCTCCAGGCGATTAGAGAAGAAAAAGAAAGGCGCCGCAGAGAAAAGGAGCAAAAAGATGTAAAATTATTGTTTTTAATTTTTATTTTTCACTTAGTTTTCTAAAAAAAATGGTAAAATTTTATTTTTTTGGTAAAATTGTCCAATTTTACATTTTTTCTACAAAAATGGTTTACAATTATCTTAGGGAAGAAGAATATAAACTTATTTTTAGTGAATTTATTTTTAAAATTATTTTTTTAGTAAAATATTATTCTAATTAGTATTTTACAGTAATATTTGCAATTTTCTTTTTTAGGTCGAGGAAGCAACGGTTCGCGCAGCTGGACCTGATAAGGACCATCGCAAAGAATTGGATGCCATGCTTTCATCTCTTGGAGTTGCGCCCGTTTCAGGTAAAATAAATATTCCACACTCACTTATTAAAATAATTATTCAAATAATTAAAATTTTTATGCATTTTTTTTAGACGTTTTATCTAGTCTGTCGAGTATGAATTCATCGACACCAGAACAAAGTAATAATGCAACTCCCGACGTTAGTCTACAGCCATCTAGTATTAATTCTGCTCAAAGGTAGAAAAAACGAAAATTTAATTAAAAATCCACAAATTGAAGTTTAATTAAATTCAATTTAAATTAAATTAAAAAATACTCGAAGATGTAATAAAATCAAATTTTCAATTAGCGCAACCCGGAGGAAAAATCGAGAATTGACTGTCGTCTCAGTGGCTCACACGAACATTCCCCCGAAGGAACCGGTAGTTTATAGCAAACAAACACAGACTGTTCAGGTGGCTCACGCTTCTCATGACGGTGAGTTTTTTTTCCCAAAAAACACTTTTTTCGCATCGTATCATTTAAGAAAAAAAATACTTAAATTCTCCTCCAATTTTACTTCATTTTTTTTCATTTTATTTCATTTTATTTATTCGAAATTTTATAAAGATGACATTTCAAGACACGTACGTTTAATTCATTTAAAAAAAATATCAGAAAACGCTGCTTTCGTGAAGAGAGCAGCGTTTTCTGATATTTTTTTAAAAATCTCTTTTCGTAAATCTAGTCTTGTACTTAATTACGGTTTTTTTTACCAAAAAAAAAAAAAAAAACGAATTGACTCGAAAAGTCGAATCGCTGCGAAAAGAAAAAAAGAATGGTAAAGTGGGTGGAGCACTGAAAATGGATGCACGTAGAATAGGAGAACTAATTTCAACTGCATCCGTGTTTAATGTTAATGATTAATTATTTAATTATTTAATTAATGATTAATATTCTAACAAAAATTGCAAATAATTGTCAAGTGACTAATCATCTGTCACTTTTGATATTTTTTTTTCAATGATAGTTTATCTTTGATTTTTCTTTTTTTTTGCTCCTATTTCGTTGATTTTTTTTTCGTATTATTTAACTGGCGAGGAAACTTACATATTCACACAACAAAACTTTTTGTCTAATAAACACTTGACTCCCATTTTTTCCTTTGTTGAGCCTTGTTTTTTAACAAAAAAAAAATGTTCACATGTAATTTTTCTTAAACATTTATTCATTTTTAGAAACTTTTTGTATTATTAATTTTTCTCAGATTTTTTCTATTTTTTAATTTTTTTTTTAATTTATATTTCTTGAATATAATTTGATATTTTTATATTTAAAAGTAGTAAAAAAATAAAAGTAATTGTTAATTTATAGAATTATTTATAGAAATTTCTTTATTAATATTAAATGTTTCTTATATTGTCAATTTTTCCAAGTTTGAATTTTTATTTTTTTATAATTTTTTATTTTCTTCGTTTGTAGTTTTCAATTTTCTTTGTTTGCAGTTTTTAATTTTCTGTTTTTGTATTTTTTATTTTCTTTTTTGTATTTTTTTATTTTCTTTTTTGTATTTTTTTATTTTCTTTTTTGTATTTTTATTTTTTATATTTTTAAATTTGTTTATTATTCAAAGTTTTCAATTGTAACTAACAAAGTGATTGTTTCTTGAATGCATTTTCAAGGCTTGACACTAATATAATAATTTATTTTAATATCATATAAGAAATGTATAATTATGATTTCGTTTTTCTCATAATTCATTTACGTATCTAAATGCATCTGTCTTTTTTATATTCATTTCTCAATGCTTGAGATTTACATCATCAACAAACCAAAGTAAATGAGAATAGAAATTTCTTCTGATTATTTAAGGCGTCACAATACCTCACACATGTTTTTCACCTAAATTTATTGTTTATTGTCCTTTTCTCCTTTTTTCTATTCGTCTACATAACTTTTTTTTTTATTGCTGTGTTTTATGTTTGAATAACAAATTATCATTGGTTTTGGTTTTGTTTTAATGCTCTGGGAACTAATAACGCTTTGGATTTTAGTTTTAAGAGGAAAAAGTTTTGTTTTCTTTTCTTCTTATTTTTAATATATTGCCGTTCAGTTGCATTTTCTAATTTGTCTTTTGAAGTAACTAATTAATTGTTATTTTCTTCTAACATTTGTCGTAACGAAAATGTCAATTTTCTTTTCTTTAAATTATAATTTTATACATTTTATACAATTTATACAATTTATACAATTTATATTTTAAAGTTTTTAACTTTTTTCTGATTGTTGTGTTTATTTTCTTAATTTTTGTCTTATTTTTTTTATTCGTAAAATAGATGGTAATTTTTTGTCTTAATTTTTTTTCTGTTTAAATAATTTCTCTCTTACTTTTTTATATATTTTATTTTTCAATTTCATATTTTAATGTGGAATTAAAAACAATTTTTTTTTAAATTGACATTGTGAAGGAAATAATTTGTTGTTCTATTCTTTTCGTATTTTTTTAACTTCATCGTCAACCACCTACTTTACTAGAGTTCATAAAATAAAACATTTTCAGCACAATATTTTTTTTGAAAACTGAACATTTCATAAGAAAATAAAATTTAATCGCTGTTATTCATTTTCATCTTCTTTATCATTTTTCTCAAAAAAAAAAATCATTTTTTAAAATCTTACGAAGATTTTAAATCTTCGTTTTTAAAATTTAAAGTAATTTTTATCCATGAAATTAAAAATATATTTCTTAATCTTTCCTGATTGTGAATAGTAAAATAGTAAAAAATAATTCATTGTCGTCTTAATGAAAATTAATTAAATTGCTAATAAAAAAATAATAAGACAACAAATTTTAGAAAATGGGGAATAATTTTTTAATAAAATAAAAATTAAATTCATTCTTATCAATCAATAAAAAGTAGTTATCAATTGTTTTAATTAATTGCAAATTTAATTGTTGATTTTAATTTTAATTTTTAATTATTTGATTATGAATGTTGAAAATGAAGATTCAGAGATTTTGTGAAAGTTTTCCTATTGGAATGTTTTTTTTTCAAAAAAGAAAAAAAAAGAAAAAAAGGAAAAAATCGGGTTGATGTATTTTTTGCAACTGAAAAAAGCGGTGTTATTAAATGTGCGCGTCTTCCCTTGTCTTGCGTTACAATCGTTCAATTCTACTGGTGTTGGACACAAGGACTGTCCGCCTCCTCTTCCGCGTACTCCTGTACAACATCAACACCAACTCATTCTTGCTCCGCAGGATACTTTGAGACTGACTGGTGGCGTCCCAGGAAAGGTGGGTCTGCACCAAACTACCTATGTATGTTCTGTCTACTTTTTTACCTCCCTGTAAACTATTACAAATATTATTAACAATCTCATAGTCCTAGGTACGTGAATGTCACCCTTTTCCGGAATTCTTACTTTTTCAGGGTTGATGAGTTCAATCTGAATTTTACCCTTCTTTCGTTGTCCAACTTTTTTTTTGTTTTGCATTTTTTTTCAATTTGCAGTGTTGTCTGTATTTTTTCTGTACTTTTTCCGTTTTTTTTCTATACTTTTTCTGTTTTTTCTGCACTTTTTCTGTTTTTTTTCTGCACTTTTTCTTTTTGTTTTTTTGTCTGTAATTTTTTGGTACTTTTTCTGTACTTGTTTTTAGATTTACATTTTTATTTAAGTTTGTTTTATTTGTTTTAAATTTGCCGTTAATTTTTCTTGTTTCTTGTTGAATTTTCAGGTCTTGGATTGGATTTTGTTTTTGGACTCTGTACTTTGAATCGATTAAAAAATGAAATGAAAAACGATCCAAGGCCTGAATTGAGGATATTTTTTTGGAGCACTGAAGAAAAATAGAATTCGACTTGTTATATTTAAATTTCTACCTAACTGACGAATTTTTGTTTTTTTCGTCAATATTACTTTTTACTTTATTGCATTTTTCGTATTTTATCAAAATTTTTTTCTACTTTCGTCTGAGATAATTATTTAAAATTTTTTTTTATTAATTTTCCTTAAATGTATTCTTAAAATTCAATAATTTCGAGTTTTAATTTCTCGTTTTTTGTCTTTAGTGCTTGAGAATTTTTTTCCTTTTTATTTTTTCAGATTAATTTTACGTTGATCCTAAATGATTTTAGATTTTACTTTCTTCGTTTATTTATTTTTGCCATTAAAACTTGTGAACTTTTTTCTTAATTTTAATTTGAGTTTCTCATTTTTTTTCCATTTTCGTAAAATTTTCTACTATTGATAAAAATTATTTCTCTATAATTTCTTCGTCTTGAAAATGAATTTCAGTGAAATCAGACTTGAACTTACGGCCCTTAAATAAATGAACTGTTATAACATAACAATTTTTTTTGTTTTGTTCCTTTTTTAATGGAAGTGGTTATACAGATTTTTATATTTATTTTGTATTTATACGAGAGGCTTAAAATTTTGACTTTTTATTCATTAAAATAATTTATTAATTATTATTTATTCATTTAACAAAATCAAAAATTACAAATTATTTATTCAGTTATTAATTAATAATTTTATTAATTAATAACTAACTTCATTAATTACTTTCTTATAGAGGAAGTATTTTTATTTATTTCTTCTTTATTAATCAATTGATTCATGTTTCCATTAATTTTTTTAATCATTATTCTAAATATTTATATTTTCTTAATTTAAAATTTGAAAAAATTAAATGAAATATTATTAAGTTTAAATAAAAAAATTTTGTTTTGTATTTTCACATAATATTGAAAAAAATTTAAATATAGTTGCCTCCACTATAATGCAAATTAAATTGAAACAAAGAATAATTAAAAGTAAAATTATGTTCAGTTTTTGGTAAATAACTCAGGTTGACCGTTGATTAAAAAAAAATTCATTCTTATATTAAAAATCACGGTCGTCCTAGTGATAATTTATTTTTTTGAATCCACTGCTTCCATGTAAAAAAAAATTATCAATTCTAATTAAAATGCTTGCTTATGATAAATGCTTTTATGCTTTTGATAGATTAGAAAAAATAAATATTTACTAATATTACCTTTTTATGCAAAATACAAATAAAAAGTGTCAATCTTGCCTAAAAAATCAATTAGATTTCATCAGTAGTTATTATTTTTGATTCATTAACTTTAAAATGGTTATGGAAAATTTTCTCTATTTGGTGATTTCATTTTTGATATTTAAACGATTGGTAGTTAAAATTTTTTTTTTGAAAATTTACTAAATTGTTTATGGAAATTTAGAAAAAAATTTTTTTTTTATTTTATTTTTTAGATTTTTTAAATACTTTTTTTTAAAACTGTTTGACATAGGAGTAACTTAGGGGGGTGGAGAATAAGTGTGACAAGCCATGTACGTGAGATATTGTGCTCTATGTAACTTAATATTATGTATAATTTTTTTTTAATTATTAATTCGGTTACATAGAGTGAATTAAATTAATTTAAAAATATAATATTATTGAATATGTACGTTTCCTCTGATGCATAGGTCACATTTCGACACTTCATCAACACTTTTATTTCAAAGAAAAAAAAAATTATTTATTGTATTCACCTCTCTACATTCAGTCTGTAAAGTTAAAAAAATTATTCATCCTATAATTAAATTATTTTAAAATAATTTAATTAATTTTTCTTAAAATTATTTTTAAATAATTTAATTATAATAAATAATTTTTTCGATTTCTGTAGATTTTTTTCACCATGAATTTAATTAGGATTTATTTTTCTCTATAATGTTTATTGAAATTATCCCAAATGTATTATTTAATTTCAAACTTTAAAATTTACCAAATATTCTGAATTTAGAGAGGTAATTTTTTTAGTGTGTAACATATTTGTATCAAATTTTAACTAAGTGCGATTTTTTCCCTCCCCTCTTCAGCTCATGCATTCGACTATTACGGTAAGTTATAATTTCTCTTGGATTCCACCAAAAAAAAAAAAATTAGGCTCGATTTAGAAATCATTCATAGAAATCAAATTAACTATTTTTTTATTTATTAACAACTTTTTTTAAAACTTTTTCTTTAGTCTTTTTATCAATAATTCAATAAGATAAAATGGGATAAGAAAAAAGTTCATTAGATAAAAAATGAGAATTGAAAATAGATTTGAAAAATAACTGAAAATAGATTAGTGAAAGAAATTTACCAAAAAAATATTAATAATAAGGAAAAAAATGAGAAAATAATAAAAAGAAAATATTAACAATTAATAAAGTTATACAAAAAAAACTAAACGTAGAAACAAATTTAAAAGACAAGTTTTCATCAATAAAAATTTAAATATTGTGATTCTTTTTCTAAAAATAGGTTTTCGATCATTTCTGCACTTTGCACAAAAAAAATTCACATTCTAATTTATTTTTCCACTGTAAAATGGAAATTTTAATAATAAATGAACGAGATATTTAATCAGTCATGAGATTGGCTACCAATGTCAAGAAAGAAAATTAATTTTTTTCTAATTTTTTTATTAAATATTAGAAACAATTTTTTTTCGTTAATGATGAGAGAAATTTTTTAATACTCTCCACCCAATTTTTAATATTAATAAATTAATAATAAAGAAAAAAGAGAAAAATATTTATAATATTGGGCTCTGTCCTTATCTATTAGTATTTGTTTGTCCTTATCTTCAATTTTTCGTTTACCAAAAATTATTATTTTTTATGTACTATTAGAAATTCCAAAAAAAAATTTGTTGTTTTTTTTATTGATTTTACTTCATCTCTTTTTTTCATCACACAGTATTAATCCAATTTACATCCTTCGACACATCTGGAAACAAATTGAATTTAATTATAAATTCTCTGATATAAGAGAAAAAAAATGTAAATTAACAATTATAATTAATTAAACAAATATTTACGGAAATTTACAAATATTAAGAAAATATTTACAAAATTTACAAATTAAGAAAATATTTACAAAATTAACAAAATATTTAGAAATATTAGAAAATTTACGGAATATTTAGGAAATTTATAAATATTAACAAAATATTTGGAAAATTTATAAATATTCACAAAATATTTATTTCATGTGTGTAAATAGATAAACGAAAAATTTCATTTAATGTTCACACAACACAATGTTTTTAATATCTCCTTGAGGAAATATCCATCTGGCAAATCTTGTCACAACTTAACGCACCTTCCAGAGTTCTCAAAGTGGTTTTTTTAATGGGACCTTAAAATTTTCCATTTTTTAATTATTTAAGGTGTTGGGACTTATTTTTATTTCCTTTTGTTTCACTCAAAATTTCAGTGGTGGAAATGTTGAATTCTTATTCTTTTTTACAAATTTTTTTTTCAAAAGGAATAAAAATCTTGGAAAAACTTTTCTCAAAACGAGGTATTTTGACTGCTTTCCTTGTCTCCAAAAAGAAAAATGTTTGGGAAGAAAAAATTATTTCTTTTCTCTTCTAAAAATCGAAATTCGGTTGCAAATTCATTTATTTATTTATTTACAATATAAATAATTTTTAAATCAAATAAATAAATAAACAAACTTTATTTTCTAAATGAAAAATAAAATTTTGCTTTTAAACAAAAATTGCCAAAAAAAAACAAGGGAAAAATTAAAAATGAATTGAGAAATTTTATTTAAATATTAATTGCGAGAGAAATAAAAAAAAAATTGCCGAAAAAAAAGAAATTGAATTAAAAATGAATTGAGAAATTTTCTTTAAATATTAATTGCAAGAAAAATAAAAAAAATCATCAGAGAAATTGAATTAAAAATGAATTTTCCTTGATAGAGAAAAGGGAAAAAGAAGAGAAAATACTAAAATGAAAATGAGTTAAAAAAAATTTCTTGTGAATATTTTTTCATCCAGATGTCAGAGTTTCATGCATCCTTCGCTTGCAATCCTTTTTTTTATTTGTGTTCTGTTAATTCTGTTTTGGCTTATTCCACATTTCCTTTGTTTTTCAAAGACTGAGCCTAAAAATAAAAAATAATCTCGAACTTTGAAAACTAAGAAAAAGAAAAAAAGAAAATTAATTTCTTTAATTGGCGCAAGAAAAAAGTATTTATACAATATTTAAGGCTTTAATTTTGCATATTATTGTAAATGGTGGAGAGGAAAATTTTATTTCGCTAAAAATAGTAAAGAAGAAAAAAAAATAGAATTGATAAGAAAAAAGAAAAAAAAGAAGAAAAGCTTTATTAACCGATTTTTTGGGAGTTTGCAATGAGCTGATTTTTTGGGATGAAAATGCTAATTAATCGCTTTACAGGGGAAACGTTCTGCACGTAGTTAGATATTTAGCACTGACTATTGACGATTTTATTCCAAAATTCTCTGGTCGACTATCGCTTCATTATAGAAAAAATTATAATTATTAATTACAAATAACTGTTTTTATTGATTTTATTTTGATAAATTTCGAATTTAATTAATAATTTTATTATTGTCATTTCGTTCAATTTATAAAATTTCTAATCACTTTCATTATTTTAATCTGTCTAAAAAATTCACTCATTACCTGAATTTTTAAAATTGGAAATTTATTTGAAAATTTTATAATGAAATTTTATTATAATTTTTTCTATATAAAAATTTATATTTGAATTTCTTTGAAATTTTTTGATTTAAAAATTTTATTATTAAACTTTTTTTATGAAAATTTAATTCAAAAATTTCGTTATGAAAATTTACGTTTCAAATTCTTAGAGATAGGCTCAAAATTTATTAATTATTAATAATTAATAATTAATAATTAATTAATTATTTTATTTATTTATAATTTTATTATAGAAATTTATTTGAAATTTTTATCGTAAAAATTCCTTTGGAAAATATTTGCAAATATTTTTGGAGAATTTGAAAAATTCGAATTTTTCTTTCCAGAAAATGAATTTTCCTCGTCATTAAAAATTAAAATTTCAAAAAAGGAAAATAAATTCATGAAAAAATAATTTTAAATATATTTAAAAAAATATTTATATGCAGCGATAGTTTTCCTCTGATTTGGATTTTATTTGAGAAATTATTGAAAGAAAACATAAAAATTAACTTATCGACATTTTCTTTTCCTTCCTTCAAGACGAGTACAATCTAAATCCTGGTTTAGAATGGGAGGACGAATTTACAGGTAGGTGATCTTATCTGGCCTTGATTCTTGAATCGCCTTTTTAACTTATTCAATTTTTCACAATATTTTTGCACTCTAATTTCCTCCCTCAATATTATTATTATTATTATTCTCAAGCAAAAAAAAACAAACATTTCTTTAAATTTAATTTATCTAGATGCATTGAGATTCGTAGAAAAAAAAATTCTTTTGCATTTTTTAAAATTAAATAAAATAAAAAATATCACGTAGATACTAAGTAGTTAGAAGAAATTAAAAAAAAAAAATTTGCAAGTGTTTGTGTTGAATATCTATAGAATGCTTCTTAAATTAGTCTTTAGTTGTTTGTATACAAGTTTTTTTCCTCTATGGTGCATGAGGCTCAGGAAGCTGCGTTATTCGAAAAAAATATAATTTTTTTTCTTTATGAGGGTAATTTTTCCAAAAATTATTTTTTTTTATTTTCATTAACTATAATTAATGCTATATTAATTATTAAACATAATTTTTTTTAGAAATCTTCGAATGAATTTAAATAATTAAAAAATACCACAAGCACAAAATTGTCGAATTGAAAATATTTTATTTTCATTTCCAAAATTTTTGTATGAATAATAATTTTATTTCTATGAATGAAATTACATTTATAAAAATAACTTTATTTATATGAATAACTATATTTATAAAAATGACTCGACAATAAGGGTGGAGAGAGAGAATGTGAAAGATTTCATTTTTTTCTTATTTTTTTTTATATCTTTTACGTGCACAACAAATCCTGATGCATGCCCTCACGAAAAAAATTGTTTGTTCACTGTCTTGAGTTCGTCAATTTTTTTTTGCTATTATTAAAATATATTTAGTATTTTAATTATCTCTATTGATTTTATTTCGGTTCGCTAATTCATAATATTATTTATTTATTATTATAATTATCCTTTTTCGATTATTATAGTAAATTATTTATTTATTTTTATTTATAATTTTAATTGTTGATTAATAAACAAATTAATTAATCGTAAATTAATTCTAAAGTATCTAAGTAATTAATAGTGATTCAATTTTAGTTCGCTGATTTTTTTCCACTAATTTTTTTTTAATGTTGCTCGATTTTTATTTGATTTTATTTATTTAACAATAATTGAAAGTAATTTTTTTCATTATTTAATTTTCGAAAAATTTTGTGATCATTTTTATTCAAATAGACTTGGTAGCATGATTTTTGTGACCATTTTTGATTACAAAAAAATATTAATAATAAATAATGCTCATTTTTAAATAGTTTTGCTTTGAAAAATTTGCATACCGAGTGTTTTATCAGTATTTTTATAAAGAAAAATAAACTTTTCTTTTTCCCCAAAAAAATTATTCGTATTTTTGTTGATGAAATTTTTATTCATTGTTAATGCTTGTTGTGAATTTAATATGTAAGAATATTTAGATATTTTATTATACAAATTTCCTTAGCATGCATTCTGTATATTTTTTTTTAACTTTAGTAAATTATATTTTTGAATCTAGAGTTAGATAAATAAAGTTACGATTTTCTGTGATTTTTTAAATTTGGATATTGGAATTCCAGAAATTGTTGAATTTATTTTTATTTTATTTTTTCGAATAAATAAAGTAGTTGTAGTTTTAATTAGGAATTGTGTAGGATTTGAATTTAAAAGAAAAATAAAACGAAAGAAAAGAAAAAAATTAGTCGAGTTAGAAATAGTAGTGTAGGGTCGTGGCAAAGTTAGGGTACTTGTTGTGGGACCAGCTTATTCACCACAGTTTTGACATATGATGATGGCCAAGCCGAGGACGAGGAGAACAGCCTGCCGCACCTCGACGGTTTCCAGAGCAAATTGCCACCCGGAATACTGCCCCATGGATTGCCGCAGGTTAAGGAAGTTCAGCCAGCAGTCACACAAGTCGAACAGGAAAAGGAGAAGGAGAAATCCAAAGAGGGTATGAAGAAAATTATTCTTTCTGTTAATTTTTTATTATTTCTTTTTTCATGATATTAGAAAATTTATTTAATGCGAAAATTTCTTGAAAATATTTTAGTGAGAGAACTGAGTGAAGAGGAGAAGCAGATGATAATTTTGTCAGAAGATTTTCAACGTTTCTTGGACCGGACGAGTAGAATTGTCGAGAGGGCTCTAGGAGAATCGGTTGATATTTACACGGATTACACGGGAACAATGGACGGAGACGATGGAATGTGAGTTTAATTTCTTTTCAAATTTAGTTTCTCTATTCTTTTCTGAATTTTTCTTTTTGAATTTTTCTTTTTGAATTTTTCTTTCTGAATTAACAGCGTTGCCACAGGTCAGGGAAAAGTCAGGGATTTTTAGTAAAAGTACTGGAAAAAATTGAATTTTAAAAATTCATGAAAAAACTCTGAATTTTGATGTTTTTTTTGTTTGCCTCGTAAACTATGAAATTACCACGAATTTTAATACAAAACCTTGAATTTTTTCTATTTCAGACAATAATTTCTTTTTAAATAACTTAATTTTACAAGAACTATCATAAAATTATGACTTATAAATTATTTAATGAATCATTTTTACAATTTTCATAAATACTAGATTGATAACAGAATTTTAGTTAAAAATACTAAAAGAAAATTGAATTTTGGAAAAGTTACAAATAATTCCAGAAATTCAATTATTTTCAAAAGTAATACAATTTTTCGCAACAATTCAATTATATTCAAAAATTTAAAAAAATTCTGGCCATTTCAATTATATCTTTAAAAATAATAAAATTCTTCTCCAAAATTCAATTATGTTCAAAAATTTTTTAAAAATTCTCGTCAAAATTTCAATTATCTTTATAAATAATACAATATTCTTCTACGAAATTCAATTATTTTTAAAAACTTTAATAAAATTCTTGGCAAAATTTCACAGGAATTCAATAATTTACAAGATTTTTAATTAATTTCTTCGAAATAAATCAATTATTTTCATAAATAATAAAATTTTCACAGGAATTCAATTATATAATATAAAAAATTTCAAAAAATTTTTCGAAAAATATCAATTATTTAAAAAGAATTTTATAAAATTCGTCGCAGGAATTCAATTATTTAAAAAAAATTTAACAAAGTTCTTTTCAAGAATTCAATTATTTTTAGAAATAGTAAAATTCTTCACCGAAATTCAATTATTCTTATAAACTTGAATAAAATTCGTTGGAAGAATTAAATTATTTTCAAAAGGAATAAAATTCTTCGCAGAAATTCAATTATGTTCAAAAATTTAAAAAAAAATCTTGTCAAAATTTCAATTATCTTTATAAATAATAAAATTCTTTAATATTAAATTATTTTAAAAATTTTCTTTAAAAATTCTCGACAAAATTTCAATTATTGTTATAATTAATAAAACTCTTGTTAAAATTTCACAGGAATTCAATAATTTATAAAATTTTTAATAAATTTCTTTGAAATAATTCAATTATTTTCATAAATAATAAAATTTTCACATGAATTCAATTATTTAATATACAAAATTTCATAAAATTTTTCGAAAAATATCAATTATTTAAAAAGATTTTTATAAAATTCGTCGCATGAATTCAATTATTTAAAAAAAATTTAACAAAGTTCTTTTCAAGGATTCAACTATTTTTATAAATAATAAAATTCTTCACTGAAATTCAATTATTTTAGAAAAATTTTAATAACATTTTTGGGAAAAGTTTTAATTATTTTCATAAATAATAAAACTTATCGCAGGATTTTAATTAATTTTTGATACAATATTTTAATCAAATTCCTCGATAAATGTAATTATTCTTAAAAATTTCATTAAAATTTGTTAATAATTGAATTATTTAAAAATTTGTTGATAAAATTCTTTATGAGAATTCAATTTTAACAAACATTCAATTATTCAATAAATTATTTATTTTTTAATTTAAATAATTGAATTCTTTTAGAATTTTCTAATAAAAATTGATTAAAAAAATGATTTACCGAATAATCGATTTGTTATTTATGAAAATAATTGAATTATTGCAACGAATTTTATTACAATTTTTTCAAATAATTGAATTTTTTTTTGAGAAAATTTACTACTTTTTAAAAATAATTGAATTCTTTATGTTTATAATAATATGTTTATGTTTTGTAATAATATTCTTATAAATTGTTGAATTTCAAAAAGATTTAAATTTGAATGTATTGAAGAATTTTAATTTCTACGGAAAAATAATAATGATTAAATATTTATTTAAAAAAAAAGTATTGATGTTTTTGAATAATTTTACAATTAATGAAATTTGTAAATAAATGTAATAGAACATTCTTTTGAGTTTCCAATAATTTTTAGAGTGAATCAGAATATTTTTTAGGGTCAGGAAAAAGTGAGAATATTTTGTCTGGAAATCAGGGAAAAATAAAATTAAATATTTGTGGCAACCCTGATTAAACACAATTTTTTTGTATTTAAATTTTACAGGGATGAGAAGAGTCATCAACGACTGTGGCTAAACAGATCATTTTATTGTGAGCGTTGGTCGCGAAATCGTTGTGTGACATCGATGGATTGGTCACCACAATTTCCGGAATTATTGGCAGCGTCTTATCACAATAATGACGAGAGTCCCAATGATCCCGATGGCGTTTGTTTAATTTGGAACACAAAATTTAAAAAGACAACACCCGAATTTATATTTCATTGTCAATCGCCAGTGATGTCGACGACATTCGCTAGATTTCATCCAAATTTAATTTTAGGCGGTACATATTCGGGGCAAATTGTACTTTGGGACAATAGAGTGCAAAAGAGAACGCCTATTCAACGCACGCCATTATCTGCGAGTGCTCACACGGTAAATTTTTTAAATTAGAATTAGAAAAGAATGTAAAAAGTAACTTAAAAAAATGGAGTCATTTCAGGTGTAATTTTAAATAAGTTGGGAATTAATTACAAAAAATATACAATTAATATAGAAATAAAATTAATAGAGATGTGGAATTATTTACAGCATCCAGTTTATTGTCTAAGTGTGGTTGGTACACAAAATGCTCACAATTTAATCAGCATATCGACCGATGGAAAAATGTGTTCCTGGAGTTTAGATATGCTGTCACAACCGCAGGAGAAACTTGAATTACAAGCGAAGCAATCGAAATCAATTGCCGTCACGTGTCTCGCATTTCCTCACGGCGATGTCAATAATTTTGTCGTTGGAAGCGAAGACGGAATGGTCTATTCGGGTGAGTGACTGGAAAATAAAAATTGAATTAATAATTCTTTTTCTTTACAATAGTAAAGAAAAAAAGTCGTAGAAGGAAGGAATGAGCAAAAAAGAAGGGAATTTATAAAAAAAAATGTTAATTTCAGCATGTCGTCATGGAACAAAAGCAGGAGTGACGGAAATGTACGAGGGACATCAAGGACCAGTGACGGGAATCGACGCTCACGCTGTTCAGGGTGGAATTGATTTTTCACATTTGTTCCTCACGTCGTCGATCGATTGGACCATAAAACTCTGGAGTTTAAAGGAGAATAAACCACTTTATTCGTTCGAGCATAATGGAGATTATGTTTATGATGTCGCATGGTCCCCGACACATCCGGCTCTGTTTGCGGTTGTCGACGACTCGGGACGACTCGATTTGTGGAACTTGAATCAGGACACGGAAGTTCCTGCCGCTAGTGTCATTGTCGACGGCTGTCCCGCATTGAATCGAGTCTCCTGGATGCCAAGCGGTTTTCACGTCACTGTCGGCGACGATTCTGGAAGAATTTGGGTTTATGATGTTGCAGAAGTAAGACAATTATTTTTTAATCATTTTTAATAATATTACATTATACCCAATCATTTCTTTTTAAATAACTTCATTCTTGAGGAACTGTCCTAAAATTATTGTACTTAGAAATTATTTAAAGAATAATTTTACTTAAATATTTCAAAATTAATTCAATTTTAAAAGAGTTGCGTTTACAATTATCATAAATAAATAATCTTCAATTGGTTTCAATTTAAAATTTTATAAAATTTCAATTTTGAATGAATTTAATTAGAAATTTTAAAGAACTTAGATTTTTTGAAAAAATTTTAATAATTCAAATTCTTCTGAAATTAGTTAAATTTTTTAATATATATTTAATTAATTAGTAACAATAATTGGTTTATACAAGAATTTTAGTTAAAAACACTAAAAAAATTGAATTTTGGAGAATTTACAAATAATTGCAGAAATTCAATTATTTTTAAAAGTAATAAAATTCTTCGCAGAAATTCAATTATATTCAAAAATTAAAAAAAAATTCTCTTCATAATTTCAATTATCTTTAGAAATTATAAAATTCTTCTCCAAAATTCAATTATTTTCAAAAGTTTTAAAAAAAATTCTTGGCAAAATTTTAATTATTTTCAAAAATAATCAAAATTTCTCAGGAATTCAATTATTTTCATAAAAAATAAAACTCATCGCAGAATTTCAATTATTTTTAATTTAATTTTAATCGAATTCATCGAAAAATGTAATTATTCTTAAAAATTTTATTAAAATTCCTCAAAAAAATTCAATTATGTTCAAAAATTTCTAAAAATTCTGGTGAAAATTTCGCGAAAATTTCAATTATTTTTAAAGGTAGTAAAATTCTTCTTCAAAAATCAATTATTTTCAAAAAAATTAAAATACTATTATGAAATTATTATTCTGAAAATACAAAATTTACGAATTTATTTTATAAGCAAAAAAGGTGGAATTTATAAATTCGCATAAAAAGTAAAATTACTATTTAGAAAATAAATAATAATAAAAATGGATATAAATATAAAATAAAAAAATGAAATAAAGGAAAATAATAATTCTTATAATAAGAATTAAACAGAAATGAAACAGCAAATGAAACAAGAATTGTTTTGTATAAATAATAAATTTTTTAATTTTCAGCATTTGGCGCATCCGAGAATGGATGAATGGAACAAATTTTTGTACACGCAACAGGATTTAAAGAACAACAAGGCAGACGAGGAGTTGGACAAATTAAATTTAAGTTCTGGTCCATCATCCTTGACTTCAATGTCCTCCATGTCCTCGATGCCAATGAGATAAATATACAATTTAAAATAAGTAAAAATCAATGCGACTCGATCGAATGTTCTCTAATTTTCCTAGATTTGTTACATTAACAAAACTCTTACCTCGTGTAGGAATAATAAGCCTTTTTTATTAATTCCACTTCTTTCGTTTTTTTAAACAAATAAATAAAATTTTTAATAATTTGCCAAATTTCTAATTTTTATTAGTTTTATTTATTAATTATTAATAAAAATTTCTTTTCTTTTATGATAAATAAAATAATTTAGTAAAATTCGATCGAGAAGTATTTTAGTTTGCTTGGTAAATAATTTTTGACGAATTTCAAATAATAATCACGCTTCATGTGTAAATATTAATATACAAAATTTATGTCAAAAGCATTATTGCGAGAAAAACCCCCGACTGTAATTTACAATGTATAATAATTATTTCCGAAATATTTAAGATTTATATATGGTTAATTTTTACATTTTATTAATTTTTCTTTGTAATTGATTATTATTTGTATTTATTTAATTAACATCGAAAGATGGACATTTTTCTCAATAAATATAATTGCTCTACAGCCTCTACAGAAAAGGACGTGAAAATTAAAAGTTGCAATCGAAAAATACATATATAATATTTAGCAATAAGTTTCTTTGTACATTTTTTTCTTGGATTTTAATACTGTGTTTTTTTATATTGCTTCTAAATAATATGATGTTTGTAAAAGTTGTATGAAATGGAGTGAAATAAATTTATTGGCGCAATAGATTTTTTTTTGCTTCAGAGAATTTATTGTAGGTACTTTTTTCTTATTCAGTTTCTTTTTTTTTGTCTTTGATAAAATAATTAAAAGTGGATCAAGAAAAAATTTATTTCGGCGTGATGTTAGCACAACACAAGACACGACACAAGCGTTTGGTAATATTTAATTATTTATTCAAGTTCAAAGTTTCACAAGGTTTAATTTATTTAATTGTAAAATTAATATTTATTTTAAAGTTTTGCATTAACTAAAAAATACAAGTTAGCGTTTATTAGCCTTTTTTATTAGAATGTAAAATTTGAGTTTGGTTTTTAATATGGCTGCTAATATTGCGCATGCGCATTTTTGGTCTTGTGTTGTGCTAACTTCACGCCGCTGAGAGAGAGTATAGTGTTTAGTGTATAACGTGTATAACATTGATGTGAATGTGTAATACAAAAAAGAATAATATTGAATTCAGTAGAATTTCACGTTAATCAGGTAATAGTTAATAGTCAATTTAAAGGAGATATTGATTTAAATTTCCAACAAGACACTCGTTATATTTGTGTCTCTCGATTATAACGGGTGTTAAAGAAATTCAACACAACATTATTTTTCTCTCCTCTGGCTCGAAATGGTGTAATGGCTTTATAAGCTTTTATTACTTTCAGTAAAAAACTGTACACACAACGCAGGAGTATTTCAATATTCCCGTGTGTTTAAAAAGAGAAATCTGGATCGGTAAGTTTAAATTATTATTCGATCCTTTCGATCATAATCACTTTGATAATATTGTCCATTTAAAAAAATTCTTTTTCGTTTACAGTTATATCCAGATTTTTTTCGGGGGAAAAACAGCAGGAAAAAAAAGAAATGAAGAACAGTACATTTCCCAAGAGGTCTCTCCTCTAATAACAACAATAAGATAATAAATCTTTTAAAAATGGTACGTATTATGTTAATTTTAATTTGCGGAAAACAAAACTCTTTTGGGGAAATTAAAAGTACTACCCAAAAGTTAATCCTACCGAAAAAATTTCTTATCAGCAAATTTGAATAGTTTAAGAATAAATAGAAGTTTATAATAAGTAAATTAAAATAAATTGAAATAAACTATTTTAATCTAAAAGTATTTTTTTCGCAGAGTTCCACTGTATTGACCCCTAAACCAACATCGAAGAACAATTCATCCGCAAATACGGAAAATGATTCTTCGACACAAAAAAAGAAGGACAGGGGTTCAAATTCTACTCCTGTTTTAAAAAAGAGTAATAAAACAGCTCATGCTTTTGGTCCTGCTTACTTTCATAGTGTGAAAGAAGCTGTATTTGAAATTCCATATGCTCCATTTTTGCCTCAAACTATTCCGGAACCATTAAGATTACCCGACTATCAATCGGAAACATTTCATCCATGTCTACAATGTAAAGATAGGTGAGGAGTCTTTGAATTTTTCCTATTTTAATTTGCTAATTTCAATTTCATGGATTTCAAGATTTTAAGTATTAACATAACCTCAAAAATAAGGGCGAGAAATTAATCCCACAAATGGGATGAATTTAAGAAAATCTTTTAGAAAATTTATCGTTTTTTTTCTTTAAGAAAAGAGAAATTTTCTAATAGGAGACTTTTTATCAATTTGTTTCTAGTTCTTTAAAAATCAACAGACCTACTTGAAGTCTGATTGAATTGAAGTTTATAAACAATAAAGTAAAATCTGACGATTTTCCAAGTAACAAATATTGAAAATTTGCTACTAATTTGGATACTTACATTATTTTCTTTTCACAAGCAATAACATTTTTCACGAGAACCTTCAATTATTTGAAAAGAATTAAATAAAATTCTTCGCAAGAATTCAATTATTCTTCCAAATAATAAAATTTTTCACGAGAATTCAACTATTTGAAAAGAATTAAATAAAATTCTTCCGAAGAATTCAATTATTTTCATAAATAATAAAATTCTTGGCAAAATTTTAATTATTTTCAAAAACTTTACTCAATTGAATGATTTTCAATATCTAATACTTTAATAATAATTCCTAAAAGAATTCAATTAGTTCAACAAAATTTTAATAAAATTCAACGCAAACATTTCATTATTTTCATAAATAATAAAAATTTCACAGGAATTCAATTATTTACAAATTATTTTCATAAATTATTATTCAATTATTATCATAAATAATAACATTTTTTGCAGGGATTCAATTATTTTCATAAATTCATAATAAAACTCATCGCAGACTTTCAATTATTTTTAATACAATTTTAATGGAATTCCTCGAAAAATGTAATTATTCTTAAAAATTTTATTAAAATTAAATTCATCAAAGAAATTTAATTATTTTCAAAACCTTTGCTACGATTTGTTTATTACAATTTAAGTATTATTTATTTATTTTCAATACATTTTAAATTAAATTTCTTCAAAGAAGTAAATTATTTTCAAAAATTTTAATGAAATTCTTTGTAATTGATAAAAATTTTCACGAGAATTCAATTATTTAAAAAAAATTTTAATAAAATTCGTCTCAAGAATTCAATTATTTTTAAAAGTAATATAATTCTTCGCAAAAATTCAATTATGTTTAATAATAAAAAATAAAATGTCCAAATTGCTAAAAATTTTTCAGCTTTCGTTTTCCGAGTACCTTAGAAGAGCACATGTCCCGTCGCAGTTGGATCTTAGGCTACTGGTGTCAATCTTGTTTTCACGGAAAATGCGATCACGTGCCACTGCATAGTCCAATGTGTGGAAATTGTGTCTCAACACAATACAATCGTCGCACTTATTTACGCTCGAAGGGTATGAAAAAAGGTCAAAAAGCCGCAATAATTAAAATATTTTACAATCAGTGTGAATTTTTCAATCATCTCAAGCAACACGACGTGTCGACTGTCGAAATTAACGAATTAATGCTAATGCCACTACCGTGGGACATTAAAAAAGAGGAACATCCAAAATTAGAGAAGGCCTGCAAGGCAATCATGGAATACGCATTTCTCAATCGTATTCACATTATGGAATTCCTACGCGATCAGAAATTCGACGGTAAATGGTGGGATCCACCAGTGATCGACGAGAATACCAATAATTATCAAATACCCTTGAGTTTATCGATTATTATTCAAACTTTTCGTGAACGCGATTTTACTGACAGTGTGAGTAGAAAACTTCCGAGTCCGAATAAAAATTCTTTGGTAAATTTTAAAACAGCGGGTAATGATTCCTTACGTTTGGGTATTAATTCTGTTTCCGTACCTGCGAATAATATTCCCGTGAGATATTGCAATTCTCCGTATCGACCTCCAACTGATATTGCATTTGTGGATTGTGGTCCGAGTCATTCGGTTTATAAATCGAATAGTCTTTTGTCGCCACCAAGTTTAAGTCCACTTTCAGTCTCAAAAAATGATGGGTCTTTAAATTCAAGTTCTGAATCCAAAGAATTGGATTCCAGCGGAAGAAGGCGAAACGCTTTTGGACAATTTATCAAACAGTCGACGCAGGCTTCGCAACAACCGATAATTCCCGTTTCAACGTCAACGACAAGCAATAAGGTCTATACGGTCAGTACTAATACTAATGCCAGTGGTCCAAAAATATCCGTCAAGAAATTCGCCAGTGAACCGGTATCAAACTGGGCGCAATGTCCTGATAAAGCAAACACCAAAATTCTCACCGTGCACAGTGAGAAATGTTTGGATATTTCCTCCATCATCAGCCAATTACCGCCCGACGTCATAAACAGCAAGAAAATCGTCTTCATCGAACAAAATTCCAATCAAATAAATCAGTATCAAAAGAATTCGCCCCAAACTTTAACAACCGGTCCCACCCTAAGCGCCAATTGCGTCAAAGTCAACGTTCCCCAGGCGAACAAAAATCAAAAACCTTCCGTCACTTCCCGAACACAAGTAGTTTCCCAACAGGTCTTCAAAACAACGAAATCCCCTACAAATCCGACGTACCCACCAAAAACCCCCCCGGAGCCAAAACTTCGTCCGAGCCTCACTCCCATAGCTTCCAAAAACTCCAAAAACATCAAGATCCAACCATACGACGGTAAAGTCTTCTTCCAATCAGGCAAGAAATTCGTCATCAAACAGACGAATAAACTAAAACCAACTGGAATTTCGGCAAGTGTTCTAAAACCCACCACCCAGGCTCGTAAGGTTCCGAATCTTTTCGACCTCCCTGCTTTGACGACAAAAAAACTCCACAGATCAGTGACGAATATCGCCTCTTCCCCTCTGACTCCATCCACCTCACCTTCTGAACTATCCACTAGTAGCTGCGAATCCCTTTCGAAAATATTCGACGAAGATCTATCGCTCCTAAGACCCTATGACAATATCAAATCACGAAGCGATTTCAACATGAAAAATATCTCCGAAAGTGAAGAGGCACTCCTAACGATCAAAGTCGTAGCATCAAAGCTGTACCTCCACCTATTCGAGTCATTACCCAGTGTCAAGAATACAAAAAACAATCTGATGAAGTACAAACAAAACCTATTGGACACTCTTCCCTATCTCCGAACGAAGGATATACAAAAACGTATCGATCATGTTAACGCCCTAAGTCAGGAATTCCTAAAAGCTATGAAATTAACCGACGATAAAATAATCGACGATCATGAGCGTTTTATCGCCCTTCTAACCGATTCCGTCGAACAGGCAAAGATTCTCAACATCCCTCAAAATATCGACGATGTTTCTCTTCAGCATGTTTTTGAACTTCAACACGAGTCTGATAATAAATTTCTCGACAATTGGAAATCACAACCTATGCAAAAATGCCCCCAGTGTGCAAAGCTAAAGAAACCGAAGAATTATCTACCGGGGTTTTCTAAATTGTCCGATAACGAAGCACTCTATTGTCAGTGCTACAATTGTTTCTGTTCGAAATGTAACACCCACCAGGGAACATTGCCCCGCTTCGTAGCACATCGTAACTATCATTCGAAAATCTCCCCTTTCGTCTGTCCCGACTGTTGTCGAAAGTTTGACACATTCCAAGAAGTTGAAAAGCACATTTGGTTGGAATGTTTTCACCCACTAATGAAAAATTGGTTCTTTGGTTGTAAAGTGTGTGGAATCGATGGTCTGACAACTCTGGAAGCGCTAACCCAACATTTCCTGCTGATGCACAGCAAACGGGGATATGTCTGTTCGGACTGTAAAGCGATTTCGTTTTTGGAAAGTGATTATCAAAATCACTTGACAATGGAACATGATGCAATGTTAAAAGGCGATAATCAATTGGAAATGGTTGAGATAATAATGTGTAAGATTGGTAATTGTATTGTTTTGAAGGAGAATTACACGAAGCATCTAATCGATCATGTCGGTGTTGAGCATCAGATATTTCACAAATGTCCCTTTTGTCCCTTCACCAAACGACATGCATCAAAATTTGTAATGGAAGAATTTCGAGAACATGTGATGACGAATCATCGTTTACTTTTGTCACGGTTTGCAACGAAGGATATTATTAATCAAGTGCAAAAGGCGCTGAAGGTGAATGTTAATCAGGAGGTACTGCCGATGATAATCAATACGCGAACAATTGCACGCGAGGCTTTTGAAAAGGGAACTCAGGATTTTGATACGGATAGAGGATTGTCAAGTATGCCAATGATTGTTGACGTAAGATCGGAAGCTGCCAATTTAAATACGAATAATGATACGATGCCAAAGATACTTGAGGTGAAATCGATCGCGAATGATTCTTTATTGAAAAAGTCACAGGAGTCGCGTAAGAGAAAGGCGAATACGGTGATTGAAATTACATTGTCGCCGAAGAAAATATCTAGTGTTGAGATTAAAAATGGTAAAGTGGATGCTAATGATTCGGGTAAGAAAAGTGAAGTAAAGGGATTTTCGCAGGTGAAGGAAATTTTACTAGAGAAACGTTCGTTGACCGGAGGAGGAAAAGGAGGTTTGGCTGATGTAGAAATTATCGAACTGGAGAAAACGGTTTCTGTTACGGATGTTGATAAACCTGGTACTGCTAAAGCATCTATTGTTGCTAAGACTCAGTTTGCTGATGATAGCAATCGAGATGAGAAAAATGTTTGCGATAAGAGTAAAGAAGGCAATAATAAAGATGTCAGCAAAAAAGACACCCAAGAAGCTGAGCCTGACGAGAAAAATAAAAAGATTGATGACTACCAGAAAGATGTAAATAAAAGTACAGAAGACGACAATTCCAGAATTAGCACTAATAGAGAAAGGAGAGATCCTAACAAAGGTGGTGAAGAACAAGAGGTAACTACTGTTAGTGAGTGTTCTAAAATCTCTAGAGAACGTACAGAGGACATCAGAAGTAGAGAAACTTTTCCAAAGACCAAAGAAATTACAAGCAATGTTTGTTTGGATGAACGTAATCAAGTTGTTGGTGAAAATAGGCAGAATTTCCATCAACGGAAATTAGATGTCAACCAAAGAGGAGATGCCAACCAAGAAGAAGAAATTGTTCATCGAGAGGAGGAAATTAATCGAGAAAAAGAAACCAACAAAGTAGGGGAAGCTAATCAAGAAAAGAAAGAGGAACATGAAGGGGATGCCAACCAAGTAAAAATAGGTGACCAAGGAAAGGAAGGTATTGAAGGAAACCATAATCAGGAGAAAGGAGATGACCAAGAAACGGAAGGTGTCAATCAGCAGAGTACAGATGCTTCGAAACGGAATCAAGTTAATAAAAGGCAGCCAAACATTTGTGGGGATAACGAGAATTTTATTGGGAACCCAGAAGAGGTATGTAAAAATACTGCCAACAGTGACGATAATATCTGTAAAGCATCTGTTAGCGTCTGTGAAGGCAACATTATTTGTAAAGATGATAGCACTAAAGATGACAGTACCAGTAAAGACGAAATCATCAGTAGAGACAGCAGCAGCATTAGCGACAACAGCAGTAAAAACAATATTAGTAGAGACAGCTGCAGCATTAGTGACAATAGCAGTAAAAACAATGTTAGTGGCGACAACAGCAGTAAAAACAACACCATCATTAGAGACAACAGCAGCAATAGTGCCAACAGCAGCAGTAGAGATATCATCAGCAGAGACAACAGCATCATTAAAATTAACATCTTTAGCAAGGAAGACACCAATAGCAGTAAAGATGGTATTAGCATCAGTAACAATAGTACTAGCAGCAGTAAAACTAGTATTTACGTCAACAAAGAAAAAATAAATATTAACGAAGACCCTACTAATGATAAACCCAACACAATTGATGACGATGATGGTAATGATAATTTCGACACGAACATTGAACATAAAAGTAAACAGGACAAATTTCCCGATGGCAGCAGCATCAAAAATTCCAATAATGATGAAGATTCACAAGATTCTAACGAGGGTGAGAAAATTATCCGAACGGAATTCAACAGACCGTCAAGTACAAACGAAGCTAATAGAGATTCAAACACTCCAAAGGAAATTATCGATAAATGTAAGAATGTTAACCCTCTCATTCCATCTACAGAAGATTTGGGAACGAACACTAGAGATAAGAACGAGGACGACAAAACTGATGATCCTGAAAATTTAAATAATACTGTCCCTAAAGGTAATAATTTGCAGAATTTAAATGAAGATTCCAGTGATTTTTTAAAACAAGATAATAATATTAATAAGAATTTAAATGATTATGAAAACGTTATTAAGGATAATGAGAATTTTCTTTGTGATAATACGACTGTAATTAAAGACAGATTAGCAGTAATTGAAGAAGTTTCATCTATTGGAGATAACGAGGATATTAATGATAATAACATTGCCACTGGAAATTACAGTCGAGTTACTAACAAGAGTAACGAATTAATTCTCAGGCATAAGGACGAGGAAATTTTACCAAAAAACAATTTTTCAATTCTTAATAAACAATTTTTAACCAAAGACAAAGAATTTTTGACAAACGAAAGTGCTGGTAATAAAAATCAAAATTTAAAAATAGATATTCAGTGTTCGATTAAATGTAAAGAATCCTATAAACCTAAATCTCTAGAAGAAAATGAATCTTCGGAAGATTATCAATTTCCACCTGTTGAATCATCAAATGATAGTGAATATTCACAAGAAACAAATGTACAAACTCTTGATTATCAATCACCAATTATGGATGATCCATCAAATACTCAATCATCAACTGAACAAATTGAATTTTCGATTGGAAATTCGAATACAATTGTCGGTACAGAACAAGAACAAATTGACGATACTTGTCAGGGAGAAAAGAATCTTTTGGAGTCGGAGGAAAATTCGAGTAAAGTCCACGATTTTAGTGCATTAGAAGACCTCAAGGCAAAAATGAGTCGAACTTTCAAAACACTGGCGAAAAGAATGGAAGCAACAACAACGACGTTACAACAGGAGTGCTCAAAATCATTACCAATGTTAAAAGGTTTTAAAAATATGGAAAATGGTTCGAATTTTATAAATGAAGTTAGGACCCGAACGAGACAAAAGCGGCGAAGAAGTAATTGGCAAAAATTAACAAGCAATGTTTATGAGAATAATTACGAAAAATTTAATCTTAAGGAGAAGATTCTTTACGATGATGATAGTAGTAATTCTAGTGAGATAATAAATTACCAACGAAGAAATAACCTTATGGAAAATATTCGTTTAGATGGTGATCTAAAGGAGGATTTTAAAATAGAAATCATTCAACCACCACCACCATTGGCGAGAATTCCACAGCATATTTTAAAGAATCATTCAATTACCGAAACAACACGACGTGTGAGAAAACGGAAACAGAGTAGAATTGCATTTAACGGACCATTGAATTACGAAGAGACTGCTTTAGATTTTAAATGCCATATATGCAGTAAATTAATAAATTCCTCATGGCCCGTTTTAAAAGCACACTTCGATATTTGGCATCCGAATGAATACATATTCGCTGAACTTAATCCACAATTATTGAAAATTTCCTCCGATTATATTGACGGTGGTTACAAGGAGATTCTCTGTAAAAAATTCAAGTGCGATGCAACCAGCCCTAGGAAACGAAAGAGACGCAGTCGATTTACACCGAAATCACCGGAGAAAATTGATCAAAAATCAATTGGTATTTGCGTTAAAGCCGAATCAGTTTTGGAAGATGATGGTATGTTTAAGTGTAGAAAATGTGATGTGAAATTTATTGATATGGATCAGTTGAGGCAACATATTTCAAAGAGTCATCGAATAAAGGGGCGATATTTGGTGTGTTTGGAGTGTGGTGAAAATTTTGTTGTTGCACCGAGTCTTCAAATGCATTTGAAGGCATTTCATGCTATTGACGATCCACTTACGTATTTATTGCAAAATACTTCGTTTGCGCCGGAAAATCTTGAGGACACTGAAGAAGAGGAGGAGGAAGTGATCGCTGATGAGAATCAATGTTTCGTTTGTATGGCTGTTTTTGAAAATAAAGCTGCTGTTGATAAGCACCTGAGGGTTCATGGTATGGCATTTTTGAATCGAAAACGAATGGAGGCCAAGAAGAATTTAAATATTACGGAGAAGAAATTGAAAATGACTACACAGACTGATGATGCTTGTTGTGGAAGTGCGAGTATTTCTTTAAACCCCACGAAACATCAGGACGATAAGCAGATTTTAGCTACTAATTCATTAGAGACTGAGGTAAAGTATTCTTTTACTATTTACTATAATTAATCATTTTTCTCTATTTCCAGTTTTATTAGACTCAAACTCAGGATTGGCAATTTCAGAAAGTGTTATTTCCGCCTAACATATAATTTATCTAGGTAAGGGTCCTAGTGGCTTTTGGACGAACTAAAAAATCCCATGAGTAAGAAAAAGACGAAGATATGACTAGCCTTTTCTTACTAATGTGATTTTTTAGTTCTTTCAAAATGCCACTAGGACCCTTACTGGATAATAAACTAAGATAATTTACCTAGGTAAATTATCTTAGTTTTTGCTAAGTGACCTGACATTTTTCCGGTTTTGAACGCATTTCTTCAGGGATAATAAAAATCCTCGCAGACATTCAGTGCATTCTTATACGCAGCTTATTTCTTCAGTGCAAAATTAATTTAAATTGATAATTATTTATCGAAAACACCTAACTTTAAACCAAAGAGTTTAAAGAACATCAGATAGATGTCACTAATTGTTGATAAAGTAGAATTCTTCATTCATTCATTCGTTATTGTTAATATTTATTATTACAATTTGTTATGTTATTATTTATTATTGTTATTTGTTATATTTATCTATTATTATTTATAGTTACTATTTATAATAATATGTAAATAACAATCTTTGTTACTAACTTTTATTATAGTTATTATTATTATTATGATAATTATTATTAATTAATATTCTACAAATTATTATTATTATTATTATTGAAAATAGGTTACGGTGACGTAACATCATTAAGAATTTAATCAAAATTTTTAAAATATTAAAAATAATTAAATTTTTGCAAAGAATTTTACGTAAAATTTGCTAGTTTAAAGTAATAATTGTAAGTTAAAGAAATCATAAAATTAATGTACTCACATTTGATGTGTAGACGCGGACGGTAAATAATTTTCAAGGTTCGTGCATGTTCGTGTTTGCGACGAATCAGTCACGAGCTTACACGAGTCCGCCCGAACAAACACGAATCGTATAAATTGTCAGCCATTTGCAATTTTAGACGTTTTTTCGTAAAAGGGGAACTCTTACAACTCTGATCAATTTTCTACTGACAAATATAGACACTGAAAAAAAATTATATCAATTTCTTAATTATTTTCAAATAAAATACAATCTTTAAAAACTTTCTTACGCAAACTATTACTACTTTTTAAAAAAATTAATTAATTTTTAAAAAACAGTTTATAATTCATAAATTTTTTTTACGATATTTACGAAAAAATTTTTATTCTGTACCTACATAAATTTAAAAATAAACCTCTAATTTTTCAGGTGTCGGTTCATTAAAGCGACAGCAAAACAAAAATTATCGTTCAGATGGGAATTGGAGAAGAATAACAGGAATTACAGAAGTTTAAAGGCTATTAAATTTTCATGTACATTTTTAATAGTTATCTTTTAAAAGCCTTTTTTTTATTTGACGATTTAAAAAGGACATTTGTTTTTCTTTAAAAAATTTTGTATGAATAAAAAAAACATTGCGTAAATGTTGTAAATGGATGATCATATAATGTTTTATAGAATATTATACTTAAGAAAAAGTTAAGTTAATTTCTTTTTTGTTTTTATTTTTTACACAATAATTTGTTTTTATAAATATAGAAAAAAAATTGTTGCGATATATTCAATTCCTTAAATTCAAATATATTATAAATGATTGTTAAGTTATGTGCAGAATTTTAAGAAATTTTCCTTTTCTTTTTTTTCTATTTTTCAGAGAAGTAGATTTCTTTTGTACATTCATGGTTTTTGTGTTTCGTTATAACAAAAAAAATATGACGAACAATATTTTTGTCATAGTTTTATTTAAGCTGCATACTGAATTTTTGTTATGTTAAATGATTCTAAGCTGGAATAGCATTATTTTGGATATTTATGAAAAAATATATCTGTAAACTGTATAAGAAAAAAAAAATACGGAACAGAAAAAATCGTGATTATCACGTTGATATATTTTTCACGATTTAATTTCAAAAAGCATTGTACATATATTCTATATTTGCTAGAGAGTGAATGTTTTTATTTCATAATTAGATATCCAATTTTATACACCACTTCGCACTGTGTATATAATAACAAAAAAAAACCATTATTGTATTTAGTTAGGTATTTGTTGGAAATTTTAAGATATAGAGTTAAGGAGGTATTAAAATGAAAATAAAGTAAATAAAAAAAATTTTAATTCAACAAAACTTGGTCTTTTGATTTTTAACATTTTTTTCAGTGAAGAAAAATGAGAAGACATTTTTGCAAAATGTTGTATTTTCAGATTTTTTTTATTAAACACATTTCGAGCAAGAATATGAGAATTTTTTTTTGTAAATTAACAACAAAATTATTTTGAGTTTTGATGATTGAGAGAAATGAATGGAGCATTATGATTGAGACTATTTGAAAATGATTACATTTTTTTCTAATACTATACACTTTGAAAATGTTGAATCGCTTTTTTTAATGACTCACTGTTTGTAAAATATAATTTTTTTGTAGAATTACACTGAGAGAAATTTAAATAACAGAATTAGAGTGAAAGTTAGTTTAAAAATTTTCAAATTTCCCGGGTTTCACGAGTGTTTGGCGGTTGATGCCGGAAACGGACGAAAGTTCCCGAAGCGTCATTTTCCAGTGTGGCACATGCGCAAAGAATCAGATTTTGATGTTAAGTGGAGGGGGTCCTAATTTACATGGTTCAAAATTCAATTTTTTTTTGTTAAATCCGTTAAATCTCTAGAACTCTTACCAAAATAATTCAGATTTAAATTCCTTTCAGTATTTGTAATAAATTATTATCCTTCCAGTTTATTTTTCTAGTACATTTTAATAATTACTTGAGAGGTTATGTTACCCTAAAATCGCCACTTAGCGTTGCGCTATTTATTATTTTTTTTAATTATATGGAACCCTTCAATTTTTCTAAATAGTACTCTCTAAATTTGAATCAGCGAAAAGTCGCTGATTCACCAGCCCAGAGTATGCAGCTGATGAAACAGCGTATATACGCTGGAAAATCAGTGCATATACGCTGTTTCATCAGTGTATATACGCTATTTCATCAGCTGCATACTCTGGGCTGGTGAATCAGCGACTTTTCGCTGATTCAAATTTAGAGAGTAAAAATGATTAAATAGAAAATGAAACTTAATTATTTATTTGAATACTGTTTGTGCAATAAATCTGAAGAACAACGGTTGAATTTTTCCAGACCGTTCTTTTCGCATCAGGGTAACATAACTTCCAAATAACACTTTTATCGTACATTACTTTTCTATTCACTCAATTTTTAATATTTCGAAATATTCTCTTTTAAATTATCTTTTCGCAATATTTAAATTGTCTCTGCTTTCTCTAATTTACAATGCATACAATTTTCCTTTTAGTTATATTATATTTTTACAATAAAATTTTATAATTAATTATGAGACTGATGAAAAAATGTGAAAAAGTCCAGAAATAATATCTAATAGTAATTATTTTATAGTTTGATTGTTCTTTTTTTACCTGAATCTTCGAAAAATAAATTTTTTTATATTTAAATTAATCAAATTTAGATAAAATTGATTATTTTTTCTTACTTTATTTGTAAACATAAATATTCTATTTTTGAGAAAAAAGGAGAGAAATTAAATTTTTTAAATTCATTTCCGGAGATTCATGAAAAAGTTACGATTTTATATTTTATAGTCTTTTATAATGAAATTATGCATTTTTTATCGAGAAGCATGAAAATATTGAATGTTTACTCATGTTGCGTACCACGCAGAGCAAAAATTCTTTTCACAAATTTTTACATTTTTAAAATACTTGAATAGCACAGGTACTAAAAACGGTGGATTTTTTGGTACTATTGAACACATTTATTTTTTGGTTCACAGAAGTACTTCAAGGATAATTTAAAAATATTATTATGCGCTCTCGGAAATGGGAAAATAAAAATATGGTACTTGACCATTTTCCCAGATAATTTAGATATTTTTTTATCTCAAGTTGATAAAGTAAAAATTTTTTTATCGTAAGTTGATAAAGTAGAAATTCTCATTACCTGTTTATTGGGGTCGAGTCAGAGGTTAATAGCGCAATCATCTCAATTCCCGTCCGGTTGTTAATTGAAAAAAAAGTCGACGCGACTCATCGTTGTCTCAACTTTTATATTCGGGAAATTGGTCGTCAAATGAAATCCTATTTTATAAAATAATGTGTAAAACAAAAAAAATGAAAGAAATAAAAATTTGGACTTGTAACATTCAGTGGCTTACGAGTATTAAGCGCCTTGGTCCCTCAGAATTCCTCATGCAAGATAAATATTAGGAATTATTCCTAATAGACTGTCATCCGAGAATATCTTCTGTGAACCTAATTTTTTGGCACGTCGACTAAGGAACACACTCATTAAAATTAAACGGCTGTGGGTCCATGATCCTCAATTGACGTGGATAAATCCACTGTCTCATAAATTTGATTCTCTGAATTAGTTCGCGTTAATCTTGAACTTTGATTTAATGTACACTCATCATTCGAAACACTCAAACCATTTTCTTGAGCACTACTTACAGTCACAACTGATCCATTGGTTCTTGAAAGTTCAGCAATTACATTTGATATCCTGAGTGCTGTTGGTGATGTGATCACTGCCAGGACATGTTTTTGCTCCATTTCAATGGGACTACTAATTTCTGATGCATCATTCTCTTGAAAGAGATTTCGAAGATCGCTACCTAGTCTTGCGTCTTCTGGACTGACGTCAGAGTCTGCTGGAATTGTCAGGTTTAGGGACTGATAGTCCGGAGGTCGTCTACCGCGGAAGGTATTGCCCAGTTCACTGAGGGGAATTCCAACTTCTTGTGTTGCCCAGACGTCACTGTTTTGATGAAATGATCCACGAGGTGTACCTGTAAATTTAGGCTTCCATGCGTCCTCCATTGAGTGCCAGCGATGGGGTCCTGATGTTACAATTGCGGAGGATGAGGAAATTGCCCCGAGGCTGTTAGCAGGTACTATCCGATGGGGAAATCGAGGGGAGCCTCGGATCTTCTCACGTGACGAAAAATTGTTCGTGCTCGAATCTGTTGATACAGTTCTACATTAGAAATTTTCATGTAGGATTAAAATCCACGAATTGGAAAATTAATTCAACAGATATCATCACCGGTAAGTGTTAATGACATCTATCACGATAGATCATGGGATGAATTCTAGACTAGTTCCGTAAAGTAATAAATCTATTCATTATCTGTCTGGCTGTGCTTCCATCTGTCGGAATTGTCACCGAACCTTGATCGTTAATTAGTAGGATACGTTAGAAGCCAGAGTTGCCAAATCATTTCCCAAATAAATTCTGTTATGATAACTAGACGGAGCTTCACATAAAAATTTAAATATTAAACGAATTAGTAAAGGTTCCCGGACCGCTATTGTTAGGCCCCTTAAAGTAGGATTTCCCTTAAAAAAGGTATTATTTTTTAATGATGAATAATGTATTATTTATAATTAACGGTACCTCTAGGTTCTGTGACGAAACAGTACAAATTGAATACTCCGACATGTAAATTTTATCAGCTTAGCTAACACAACTAACTGTTTTAACATCAATAACGAATTTTCAAGAAAAAAAGTTATTTTTATTTCTACACATTTTTTTCAATTAATTTTTCCTTGATATTCATCTATCACTTTATATTCAGTAGGTAGTTAGCTTTAAATTTTTCGTTCCTTTTTTTTCATATCCAAACCTGTGAGGTTGGAGTAGTCAATTAAGCGAAGTAAAGAGTAAAAGGGAATTTGTAAACTTACGAGAGGGAAGGATAAAGTTGACCCTTGGTTCGGAGCTTTCTTTACGCCGAAGCCCGAGGCTCAGTCGGCGATCTTCCTCACTTGTAATGCTAATTATTGGTCCTGACCCGCATCGAAGATGAGAACGAGTGCCCTGGGCGTCCACTTGATAAGTTGAAGCAGCTTTCGTCCCTGGTACTAAACCAGCAATGTATCCCATATGAACTCTCAACGCCGATGCAACACCTACAAACCATACACTAATGTCAATATACTGTTGACCCAGTGGCTTAATGGTCAAAATAGTAGATCTCTATTTCAAGTGAGAGTGTGAGAGGGAGAGACACATGGGCAACGTTTTAATACTACTCGGAATGGCTTCGACATTCAGTGACAAGAGATACTTGAAAATTATCATAAAATCCTCTCGTATTTTCGCTAGAAACAATTCTAAAAATAGAATTTCAGTTTTAATTCCGTTGCTTCGAGATTCTTTTAAATTTTATTTAATATCAATTCTAATTTATATTTGTAAATTGAGAAATAATGGCTAACAATTTTTATTTCAGGGAGCACCTAGTATGATCAAAAACGGAGTTTTCAAATTTCTTGATGTCTGACGTCTCATGAATGTGTGGTTGAAAATTTCAAGTCGACAACTCAATAAATGACAAAGTTACAGCCGAAATCGTGTCATACCGTTCACTGTGTTTCGGACCGAGTTGCGTGGTGGGTTCATAATCATTTAATTTACAATAAGTTAAAGATTATGTCTTAATTGATTTACTTGAAAAGCTAGTGAATCGATATTACTCCCTAATGAAGAGTTTAGGGAGTAGTCAGTTTCTTCAAAAAATAAAATTTCTTGTTACATTTTCCAAAAATAGTATGTTTGGAAAATATTAGTAATGTAAAGTAAATTTAATTAATGTGTCTAGAGATGTACTGCAATTACTTAAGGGCTCACTGCCCTTCGAGGACAGGTAGCCGGCGGCAATTGCTAATAACCGGTCTCAGAGGATAGTACATTGTTAGACGTCAATATATTTGTGACATGTCATCAGTCATCATTTATTCAAGATAGAAGATCCAAGATGGAACAATCTAATTCTCAAGTTTATTTCGAAAAAGGTTTTTGTAATTTACACAATCGAATAATTAGATGTTAAACGTCAATAACATAACCCAACATTGAATTCAAGGTATCTGTAGTTGGATTTCCCAAAAGTCCTTATGCAGAAAAAAATCAAAAGCGTAAATTTGATTACCAGTAAATGATGCAGTAGAAGCTTTTCTGCTGGATGGTCGACTGCCAAAGAGGCTGATTAGGCGTTGAAATACTCCAAGACGAGTTGGTCCCTCTGTTTCCCTTCGTTGGTGAAGCTTGTAAATGTCGGCCAAACTTCTCCTGGGACCACCGTCTGGGAGATCTGGTTGACTGCTAAACGCTACGGTACCTCGTCGCATGCCTACATTCACGGGGAGTAATTTTCGTGATCGTGTAGTGCCGTTAAAAGACACGATTTGCAAAAGAACAAAAATTTGTGCAAATAAAAAAAAACTAAACTATACCCAGTCTAACAAAGTAATCCCTATCGAGTGTGACATTGTGTCAATTATTACCATCCAAAAGGTTGCGATTCCACGTGACACTAATTTAAAACAATTAGTTCTTGCGGAAGCAAAAACATATCTCACAAGAAATAATTAAGTCAGAATAGTTATCTTCTCAAAAAAATGAATCATAATTTCTGAAATGGTGATGAGATGCAGAAACAGGAATTTAAGCGATCCATGCAATTCAATGGAGCTTTCCTCGGAAAGTGACCATGAAGATTCCATCGGAATTCCGTTAGATTTTCATTGGCATTTCAACGAAATTATTCTCTAAATTCCGATCAATTCTCCATGGGGCTACTTTATAGGAAAATTTCCTATATGTCACCTTCTTTCCATCTTCGAAATTAGAAATAAAGTAAATTAATTATTAACTTATGAACGTTCCTGAGAGCAAAGAATTTTTGTAAATTAATATTTTGATTTCTCGTAATTCGTAAATTCCCAAAAAAGAACTAAATTTTTCTCAGTATTTTTAAATTCAGTGTTTCGGTTATTTACATGTAGAAAGATAATCGCAATTCCCACTATTAACTCTGGCAAACGTGCATTGTTGAGTTTAGAAAAAAAAACTGTTTATAAATTGTAAGCATTTTAGTGGAAATAGATGCAAAGTTTTTGATTGTTCATTGTTTTACGGTTTGAAACAATTCATAAAATCCACTGAAAATTCGTAAGACAAAGTGAAGATTTTTATTCGAACTAGTTAAATTAATTTTATGTTCATTATCTACAAATTTCTAAAATTCTCTCCAAATCACTCAACTACTGAAATGCCCTGGTGCAATAATATTATCTATGTGAAATATTCATCCTCTATATCATGTAACGATTTATACTTTTAATCCCTTGAAAATTTCATTGTGAAATTTTTTTTATATGATTATTATAAATTATAATTAGGTTCTGATTTTTTTATTTGTAAATATTAATTGCTTGTTTTAAATGATAAATTATCATGAGACTAAATTATCAGTCAAAGAGATTAATAGTACAAATTTGTAGCATGCACATTTTCGAACATAGCATAAAATGTTCGATGCATCTTATAATTAATGTTTTGCATATTTTTATAATAGCAAAAATGTATAATAAAACTGTTGAATAAATAAATTAATAATAATTTAAGAAGTTAATTATTATTAATAAAGAATTTTTTAATACTAGAAATAAGAATTTATATTGATTACTACCAACTAACTTTTATTAATATTCTTTTTGTTTATTATACAAATTGCCATACTAATATAGATAGTAATTTTTTGTTGCACACACTCTAAATATGCGTTTGAATAAAAGAATCGACATTTCGGAATGTAGAATTAAAAGCGAAATTTCGTTTTTTGTCACAGGGACAAAGAATTTATTATTAAATTAAAACGAATAGAGTAAAAAATTACTTTTGCAAATTTTTTGCCAAAAGGAAAATGTAATAAAATTCTTTCCGAGCAATCAATTTTTATTAGAGTGTGACTTGTGATATCTGATCTAATAGAGAAATTATAATGAAATTGCAGGCAAGTGCGTGCAATATACGAATATTATGTCACCTTTTTGTGATACCTAAATGATGGGAAAACGACGAATAAGTGAAAATAGCATTAATCAACCATTATCCCACTTTTTAATTGTTTTAACAAAAAAAGAAAAAAAGAACATCGTACAGACGTGAAATTAAAAAATTTCTCACTTCGCGCATTATTAGACATGATTAATGTTAAGAATCAAGATGAATTTTTAAATTGCTTCCTTTTTGTGTGTCTAAGTTTTATGAAATATTGTTTTTTCTCACATCATATATACTTTTCGATACACTGCTAACTTTACTTTTTATTTCCTTCGTTTGTAATGGGGAAAAAAAATTAATTAGGCAACGATGTTTGAAGATTTTTATTAGATTAAGATAATCAGTTTTATACCAACGGGACAGTAATTTTAAATTGATCACTAAAAACAGTATTTTTTTCAAAAACAATTAGGTTTCTTTATTTCAGATAAAAATTACGAGCTGAATCATGCAGACCGGAATATATGTAATTTAATTCAATAAAAACTTGAAAGTTCCAATCCTAATTAGATAGTTAGGTCATTGTTAGACGTCAAATGTTTCTGTCAGTCAGAAGCCATCCTTCAATGAAGAAGAAATATTCAAGATGGAACAATCTAATTCTCAAGTTTATTTAAAAAAAAAAAGATTTGTAATTTATACAATCGAATAATTTGACATATTAAGCTCTTGTTGAACGTCAATATGTTTCCCTAAAAATATGACAAATATCATTTGTGTATGATAACACCTATGTAAGGTTTGTTACCTCCCGGAGAACATATTTCAACGTCTGCTGAATTTCTCCCTTTGTAAGTAAATTCAAGTTGCAAATATCATGAGTTTCCCATTCACCTTCCTGGTGAAAGACTCTTTGTCAGATTCGTCTCCAATTATAATCAGAAGATCTCCCCTTAACTACTCCCGAATAATGGATGACAATTTCTAACCCTAATCCCAATTGGAAATAAAAAGTAAAGAAGTCTTTTTTAATCATTTTTCAAGAAATATTAATTTTCAATATTTACTAATAAATCAGTATTAATACTTTTCCCTTTGGGAAAAAATAGTTTTATTGAAAATATTTTTTAGAAGAGTGATTAAATTTACAATCCGAATAGAAGAATTTGATAATACTTTTTTTAGGGTAATTGGTTCTTTGTGTAATTGATTTATCTTTTTTTTCACGTTTGCACGATATTGAGAGTTACATCAGTATATATAGCGAGAAGCATCATACAAAATTGATTAAAGAGAATATATTGAAAGGAATAGTGGTCTCACCAGAAGGATCGGCAGATGGCCAGCTAGCTCTTGGAATCACTGGTGGTAGAACGCTAAGTAATAGAAGAGGTAGGCCACCACTTATGCTTGGATTCCTTTGTGGAATCGAGGCACTGGAGGAACCTTGCGAAGGATCAACATTCTCCTGGCCTAATTGTTTCTCCAATCTGGCTAATTCAAGTTCCAGCTGAGCCATCTCTCTTCGATAAACTCGATTTTGCACTTCTACTCGATACTGCAGTTCCCTAAAGGTCAAACATATTATATTTAGAAGCACTGATTTGAGGAACTGAAAATAGAACCTAACAGAAAGATCATATTTCCCACTTTTAATCAATTGTTTTCAATTACTCCTTTGTACCCTTCTTTATTAAAGTTAAGTTAAGTTAAACTCCTGCCGAGATCATTTTTAATATAAAAATATATTCAAAGGAAAGAGAAATGATCGAGTTTCCTGCAGACTAACTGGAAATAAAGCAATAACACGAGTAAAGAAAAAAATCAGAAACATTTAAATCTTTTCAACTTAATCTCTTGTTTGGATTTATTTATTTTGAGTTCCCTTAAATCCGCTCATGAAAAATATTAAATTTGACGGAAACAATTTTTTCTAATCCTGGATACATTTTACGAGCCACAAGAAACGTGAAGCGTAAGGAAAAAAAATTGCAGAAATAATACGCGGAAATAAGGATTTATGAAAAATTCGAAAAAATATAATAATGTGTACTAAGAATCAAAAAATTGTAACGATGTTACAATTGTTTTCTAATTGTTTTAATGCTTTTGCCAACTTAGCCAAAGTAAATATAGTAGAATAATGGTTTTAATATAATTTAAAGGGTTGTTCCCTTTAGTTTTTACTAAAAGTAAAAACGAGTAATACAAGTAGGATTAAAAAAAAACCTAAAGTTACCGTCTATCATCAGTGACAAATCTTCTAGTGTTGCATTCAATTTTGAGACCCAAACTCTGAATGACAGGATCCGCTCTTTCGCCGGACAAGATATTCGTTAGTTGTGGTAGAAATAGTAAAGCTAGTGTGGCTGTCGTTGAAGCCAAGATTAAAGCAGTGATTGTGACGAAAACCAGTGTCGCCTGATCGGATATCAAGTTCGCTAAAGCTACTACAATTCCAGAAGTAATTACTACTGAATAAACACTCATTCCAATATATTGCGAGTCGTTTAATGCTGGAACTTTCACGTGTCTGAAATCAAACAATTATTTGACAAATGTTGAACTCTTTTAAAAATTGAACAATTACAATTGGTCATTTTTAATTAAAAAACCTTTGTAAATATTTTTTTTAAATGTCCCTGTACCTACCTTTCTTTTTTAAAAAACTTTTTTTACGACGTGACTTGATATCCTTAACTATTATATATATATATTCTTATATTTAATAAACTTGAACTTTTTAAATAAAATATTTAATAAACTTTTGTAAAAAACTTTTGTAATACACTTTATCTTAGTCCTCTTTTTTGCATTGGAAAAAATCTGTGAGTAATTTTTAAAAAAAGTTTATTAATTCGTAACAAGTCAACTATTAAAATGGCTTTTATAAAAAAGTTCTTTTTTCGAAAATTTTATCCTTTGATATGTATGTACAAAAAGACTGAATTTTATGGACTTTTAAAGTAGTGTATTTTAAAAGCTTTCGTATTGCCGTTATCGTCGGGAACTATATTTTGTATTACAACTTTTTGCATTTCATCACTTTTGAACAGGAAAGGTCAAAAGTTTTGTCACAAATAAATCAAATCAAAGTTTAAACGCTATGAAATTGCAACACATCTAAATTTAAATGTTTCTAACTTTTAGGTAAAGCGTTCCACTTTTAAAGTTTAAGGCGATCGAGCTTTTAAACGATTTAACTCTCTGATACCTTTATTATTTATGTATTTTTTTCTCCAAAACTTTTCAATTTTGTATTCTTTCAATTTTAAAGATTTTTCAGTTTTTTAAAATATTCGAGAATTTTTTTTTGTATGGAAACAAGATTTTGAACTCTTATTTCAAAACAATGTTTGGTAGTTTAGAAAAATACTTTTTTTTTAAATAGAAAAAATGTTTACCTTGTTTCCCATGCCATGTAGACACCGACAACGAGGAGTAAACCCTTATAGACATAAAGTGCCCCTAACCAACCATTGGTGTGTTGAGATCGACAGACCTCCACCTGAAAAGGGTTAATTTGCCGCTGCTCATTAAGAGTAATTACCATGATGTTCTCACAAAGTCACATAGTTTTCAGGGACAAGTGTCAAATTTACAAGTTTCTATTCGTGTTCAGTAAAGAGTGAAAGGGAATTAATTACTTTCACAAAATTCCAAATTGTTTTCTGGTTTCCCCTTTAAGTTTAATTACTTTTAACCTCAAGAACCCCCTTTTTTGCAGGTACCTTTTAAAAATATATTTTATTATTATTTCTCAAATTGTGGGATAATTAGAACCTTCAGTTGGTAATGCTTCATTTTTCAAAGAAAAACATTTTTTCCCTTTGAAATAGAAGAATACCACAAGGGAAAAATTACCTCTGAAAGTAAAACCACTTTTATAAAAGAAAGAATACCTAAATGTGACGTAAAATTAGAGTCGGTCTTTTATAAGATTACAGTCGATATTAAGGAAGTGAAAAAAATTTATAGTTGAAAGGTTTGACTAACTTGAGGTTGATAAACGACACCCCTTTCCTGTGGATTAATTTCGAGAGTGAGATTACGAAGATGCCGTTGCATTGGGTCCATCGTAACCCACAAAGTGACCACGAGTCCATCAATTAAAAGCAATACACAAATTAGACTAATTAATTGAGTGTCCTGTAGCAGCTGCAACAAAACAAGATCTAATTTAAATATAATATTTAGATTTGTTTTTCTTTAATTTTTACAATTTTGGGTATATATTAGGTCAATATGTTTGGGTTTCTTATGTAACTTAAAATTTTGAATATAAATTTTTAAAACCCTTTTAGGTATTTCTCGCCTATCTGGTTGGTAATCGCAATTTTAGATTGCAGCCCACTTTTATTAGTGCTCCGTTCGCCTAAGCTATCTTCAATCAAAGTAGAAGGAAAAGTATGCAAAGGTTCTACTAAACTGCTGGTTTATTGGCTCCTGGGGTATAAATGTACATTTGGATAGTTATCAAATAAATGCGGAAATGTATCCTAGAGGTCAAACTTTTCTGTTGTATCTCGATTGTAGTAAAAAGCACCAGGACTAAAAGAGAACTATCACTAAATACATGTTTTGGGTTTTAGATCAGTAGTGTACTTCAGAAAATCCTTTGATGATTTACATCCCAGTAAAAAAAAACTAATTCAAACGGATTGAAATGAATTAAGATTTTTGGTAGAAAGCGGGATTCATTCAAGCTTTTTGTATATTCGATTGAATTCGATTGAATTTGCCTGAATTTGTGCAAACGAATTCGCATTCGAAAGAAATGACCAAGGCATGCATTGAATTCGTGCTGGCGAATTAAAAAAAATTAAAGGCCCCAAAACTTGTCCATTGAATTAGTAAGAATAGAAGGTTTGGAATTTCAATACAGTTTGACGAATTCAGGAAAATTGCAACATAGCTGCAATTCGTATTTGTCACAAAGCGGGATTCACTGAAGCTCTTTGTGAATTCTTTTTAATTTATTTCAATTAGTTTTTGTTTACTGGGATTAGTTTGGATCCATCCAAGATAGTAGAATAATGGTTTTAATATAATTTTCATTGTGAATACCTTGAAGGTTCCACCAGGAATGGAACAAGAACTCATGTTCCCTATCGGCTGGTACTTCTAATTCAATGCAACTATGAAAAGTAAAATAACTAATAGAAATGAAAGCCAAGTTTGATCATCAATTAAAAACAAACTATTAGTACAACTTTTCCTAAACTTAATGGAAATTTAAACCTATTTATTTTTAAGAAAGTTTGTGACTTGTATGTTCTACGTCCGGAGCCTAAATAGGATGAGCCATCTTTCAATCGACAAATAAAATTGTTTCATTTATTACTCTTCCGATAATCGATTAATAGAATATCAACTAACTTCAACAACGGAGGGAAAAAAACAACTATGTAAATAAATATGATTTTCTCTAAATCAATTGCTTTTTAATTGTAAAATGAAACGTATAATCCTGTAATTATTGTTAACCGGGAATTATTGATTACATGCTACTTTGGAAATGAAGGTTAAAACCAGTTTGCCCAAAGGGGATATATATTTAATACTCGCATTATTGTTCATATAAACAATCAACTGGAGAATAATTTATAAAATTCAATTCAAATATACAACTATTATTTAACGGTTTGAAAATAATGACCTGGAAGCACATGAAAAGAAATCTACACCCTTAACCAATGTTCATTCGTTACTCCCACGATTGAATAAAGAAATATCTTGTTAGAAATTCTAATTAAATTTTCTTATTTCTCAGAGTTTGCAGATTTTCTAGTTGGTTTTTTTTACTTTTATTACTTTTAACTTGGGTTGTGTATATTTGTTAGTAAAACATTCTATAGTACTTAATTGACATCGAATTAGTTTTTAATTGAACTTTCTTATTACAATCTGTAAATTTGTTGTTCTTAATTAAAAATTTTTCTCTAATTAAAAAAGTCCTCTCACTTATATTGATTTTCAAAATTGTTCCTTTAATATTATTTCATGCCAATAATAATATTTTTGAAAAGTTTATTAAATATTCACCTTATTTTTCACGACTCCACTTCTGCTCCTGGTGAAAATTCGATGAACTCTATAAGTTTTAGTGAACATTGAACCGAAGGCTAGAGAAAATCCCGCTGATAGAAGATAAACTCTTGCCTAAAAGGAAAATTTTATTTTAAAAATCAGATGCTTATTTTGAAAAGATTTGTAAATTATTTAGGGAATTGGTTAGTGGGGGAAAATAATTTATAATACTAACTGTACAGACTACGGGAAAATAATCATCACTGTCAGGTAAAGTTGCATGATCGAGACCAAGTAAAACCACTGCTCCATAGACTAAACCACAACCAACTGCCGCCATATTGTTCAATCTTGGACTTGAAAGCTTTATACTCCTGTTGAGACAGAAGATAAGAAACTATATATTGATTCTTTGTGAATTTAATGAAATTCTTTTATACGGATTGACTTAAAACTTTCTTCTTGAAGAGTTTATCTTTAACTAGATATTTTTCTTTTCATCAATTCCACGAAAGTTTCAATATTTTAGTTTTTATTTAAATATTTAAATTTTTTCCTTTTCTATTAAATGCTGCTGCACAATATTTTCTTTTTTTGTAAACAAATAATTAATTAAAGTGAATAAACTTTTTTTCATAATTAATCTGCACGAAGACTAGGGTTTAATCAGTTAAAAATATTACGACATTTATAATTACTTAAAAGGAGGAAACAGACTCGAAATTCCAAAGGTAACAGTGGAGGAGTCTTTTATAAAACTATCCAAATTGCTTAATATCTTGTTTAGTATCTCGTTGTACCAAACCTCTTATCTCAGTCTACTTTATATTTTGATACATAAATTTCTATCTAACAAGATTTCCTTAAAGTTTGTAACAGTTTTTTTTACTCCCCTAATTGTTCCTTTGATGTTTTTTTTTCGCAAAAAGTACACGATGTGGAATAAATTAAGAAAAGCATTTCAGATATGCAACTTATTGAGTGCAATTTCTCCTCCGCAAGGAAAAAAAAGGAAGAGTTTTTTTTACTTTTATAAAGCTCCAAAGTGCATTAGATATATTTCAGATCCTTTAAAGCACTTGATAATGATCAGATGAATTTCCTTTCGGGGACAATAATTTTGTCAGCGAGAGCTTAATTTACATTTAGATAACCTTAGGAATATACTTTGTTTTTTTTCTTCATCATCCTTTTAAATTTCAGTACTGAATTAACTTTCCTAAATTAGAAAATTGAGCTAATGGGGAAAAAAAGATTTTTTACAACATTGCTGTATAAATCTCATTTTAGTTAATTGTGAATTTTTCCCAGAAAAGAAATTTTCGTGTCTTAATTTTTTTTAAAATGGTATAAAACTTTGTTTAATGGCAATTTTTTGGGGGGTAAGTTAAATTATAAATTACCGCACATTTTGTTATGCATTTTTTTGTAATTTAAGTTTACGTACTTGTGTTTCCGAAAGTGTAGATTAAAGGCCAAAAAAGCAAGAGCTAAAGTGACCCCAACACTGGAGAGACATGTGACGACGAGAAAAGCCGCTGGTGCTACGGTCACAACTCTCAATCTAATGGAAGTTATAAAAAAAATCGATTTCTTAATTACTAGGAATAATAATAATCTTCTGAATAATTTTAGGTGCAAATCGTTCACTAATAATTGTATGTAAATTCAGTTTAAATATATCTGAGGAAACCGTCGACGGAAAAGCTAATAAATAATATATAAAAGAGACAGTATGGATTTTTATGAAATTCGTTAACTAAAATTACAAATCCAAACAAAATAATATCTTAATATACAATTAATATTAAATAGGTTAATTCTAATTGCTAAATTTAATAGAATAATAAAGGAGATACCGAAAAACTCTCCTGGCTACTGGAGGATGCCCGCCTGGCCATCGTGTGATTGCACACCCCGGGCAGTTCATTATTAGTTGTCCGTCATCAGGTGTAAATATGGCTATTCTTCTTTGATCGTGACCTGAAAAATAAGTTTTTTCTCTCAATTGACACATCATCGTGGCGTATTAATTGAAAATAATTAATAGATTTATTTATAATCTAGCATTAGTGTACAACGAAATAATTCTTTGTTACTTCTCTTCGGCTAATTAATTAATAACCGATATCAAAAGTAATCGAATTTATAATAATTATCTCATGAGGAATTAATTTCAGCAAAACGGCAAAAATGCACTGATATAATTAATAGAAGAGCCGCAAAACATAATTTGGTAATAAAATAAGTAAAACGGTTGATACACTGCAGAAAATTTAATTATGGACTCGAGTTCACATAACGAGAGATTCATGCTAAAACTGAGAAGCGGATTTTCAAATCAGGTTGGAGTGTCAAATTATAAAACTATAAGTATTTGGTTTAACATCTACTTTCAAACTGATTACCAAACCTTTGTTACAGCATCCCTTTTCGAAAATACAATATGCAATTGTCTATAATTGAAAATGGATATAGAACACTCCAATACAGAAGAACGAACTATTAGAACTGCTGAACATAGTCTCCTGTTACAATTGGCTTCCTCCTACGTCCACCTTTGTCGTATAGTACCTGAATCTCTTCTCGCTTTCTCCCACGCACATCAACCACCTGTAGGGAAATTTGAAAAAAGCCGTTCAGATTCAGGACTCTCCGTAACTCATCCTTTTAATAGATTTCCGCGTCTTCACTAATTGGAGATATTGGAATTGGGGTGGAAACGCAAGCGAACTCTTTTGGAGCCAGTACCCAACACTCAAGGGTCATTGTCTATTGAACTAGGATCAGCATAAAATAGACAGACGAATGTCACTTATGTGCAGATTGTGTAAGATGAGTACCGAAACAGTAGCTCACATATTATCTAAATGCCCAGCATTAAATAGGATCTTATCCTTAAATTAGGTCCAAACATTTATTAACCCTGAGCAAGTTGGCAACTTATCGATAGAAGAGTGCCAGAAATTATAATGAAATTAGATTAAATCACCACAACAATTGTAATTCGCTACAGATTATTATTAACCAAACTTTTATCATATTTAAAAATGGAAGAAGTAATTAGAATTAAAAGCAGTAATTTAAATTAAGAACTAATTCATTTAATGGAATTCGAGTCTAGATAAAGGTGTAAAAAAAATTCACCTAGGATGACTGGAAGCACTAAGCTCCAATTTCGTTTTCTATATAAACGTTTTCTGACTCTTTAAAGACAACAAACGACATACGTGACGAGATTGCTAATCAGCATTTTCGAAAGATTTTTCCAGCACTAGAATCTCATCTGGAAGATAAGTTCTATATGTATGTGTATCAGAGAGAATAGAATAGAAACCTAGACAAGATAAAGCAAAGGGAAAAGAGCGGAGGGGGGAAGGGAAAACGGATGTAATGCTTCTTAGAGATTCATGAGCAGGTGTATTGGAACCTCTCACGTACAGAGAAAAATCGAACGACCTAGTTCTATGTTTAAACCTATAAGACTATTTTCGCCAGAGTAGTTTTCATTGTGGCCAAAAAAAAAAAAACATTTATCTCACTGCAAATCATCTTTTTTTCTGACAACCAATCAAGAGGAACGAAATAATTAACAATGATGGAATACCTACACAGATCTTTATTTCAATTGAAATTAATCATAATGCTCTTGTGAACTGCTATTGTTTTGGCATCAAAATCGCTTCATGAACATGTGCAACGCATCATATTCCTAATTTCACTCTATATTCTACTACATTATTTGATAATTTTAATTTCATACGTTAATTAAATTCTCCTTTTTCCAAAAAATCTAATTTGTTTCGGAATATAAAAGATTATTAATCCTGTATGTGAAATTAAAATTTTTAGTTTGATCTAAAGTTTTAGTTATGGAATTTAATAACAAAAATAACAGAAAAATTCGAGAGGTCAAAATTTTGTTATTCCTCCTAAAAAGTTTATATTATTTTTAGTAAATGCTAGAGAATTAAATATTCTTGAATCACTAAGTTAATTAATTATGTAAGAGGATCAGCATAATCATCAATATTTCCTGCCACAAATATTTGCATTTCAAATATGCTAAACTACTATAAAAATACCCTCATTATTATCTAATTTTTCATTCAATTTATATCTCTAAATAGATATAAAAGAGAATTATATAAAGATAGCTTTTTATTTCCACGTATTTAAGCAAATGGAATTTTTTTTTCCTCAGGAGAGAAGCTGTTTTTTTTCTGTTACACTTTAAATCTTTTTGAATAGAGAATAGAAAAGGTATAAAATCTTATCAAATATCAAGAGAAACCATATATTTATTCGAATCATGAAATGCAACCTGGAATCCTGTAAAAGTCCTCTGAATGCACTCTGACTCGAGTTCTAAAGTTTTTACTTCGACTCAACTAGATACACTACTATAATCTTCAGACCTAGATTCTAGAAGATGACATATCATAAATATAGATTTATGCATGTATATTCCAATCTAAATATTGATATCGAGATAAATAAAATTGTTCGCCAAAAGAAACACATCTATTTCGTTTCACATATCGTCATATATCTCATGGGACTTTTAAACATTTTTGCCTCCCAGGCGTAATAGCGTGTTCCTATCGACAAATTAGATGTGGAATATCCATTAAGTTCTTGTATATTGGAAATTTGGAAATTTAAAGTGAAACCTTTTTTTACTTTCATATTAGGATTAGTGTGGTATGACAAATTGAATCCCCACTTTGTCGACAATTTATGAATTAATTCATAAACTATGGCAAGTAGAATAACAAATGGAAATTTAAGGCAAGTTTGATCATAAATTAAAAACAAAGTATTAGATAACTTTTCATAAACTTAATGAAAATTTTAACCTATTTAACTTTTGGACGTCAATATTATGTGGGACATAGTAGTGTCCCACAAATGTAAGTGTACTGTACTGTAATTTTCTTTACTTTCACCAACTTGTGCTAAGCAAATATAGTAGAATAATGGTTTTAATATACTTGGGATTTGTCGTAAAGGGGACTTGTTGTCCCCTTTAGTTCCTCTTGACTTTTGAAAATCAAGATGTGCACCCTAGTCATTAATTTATCTCAAGTCTGTTTAATTTTGTCCTGTTAAAAGAATTTTTACGAACACTTCGAATAATTACAAAAATCAAACAGATCTTTAGGAACCTGTTATTTAAAAAAAAGGAATTGTATTAATATAATTTCTATATTCTCAAAAGTGTAACTAAATTTTTTAATTTCGGAAAAATTTTAATTATATAAATAAAACATCTTTATTTACAATACCACAAAATTGATTTGATATCAATTACAAAAGTCTATTCTCTAAATAAAAACAAATAAAATAAAAAAACAATTTTCTCTCCTTTGAATTCGATATTTTCTGCACATAGAAGTGGTGTGGAGAAATTGATGAATAAAATTTGTTGAAAAAGGATTTGCAATTGATCGATAGCTCTCCGCGGGAATAGGTATTACAGTTTCGACTTGATGACAGATCCCTTTAATAGTACCATATATGAGAATTACTAGACGAACCATTTCAAGTAAAATCAATTATCTTGCATCTCAAAGTCTTGAAAAGTATCAGTGTAGTTTTAAAATGAAAAGCGGCTATTGCTTTTAAAATCGTCGAGAGAAGCAGAAAAAGGACTAATGGACGTTGTACTCCTTTTGGTGAAGGATATCGCAAAATCCACTCGATTTATCGAGTGCTTTTCAAGCAAAATTTTTCATTTCACTGATCGAAATTGCAGAAGCAATTTACATAGGTTGGAGATTTAAAAATGCGAGGGAAAAAAGATACTTAAATTTCGGTTTTTTCTATTTGCGTATACAATGTTTTACAAATGCTTTTTTGGAAAATAAATATTCTTTTTTTTATTACTACTTCTATTTAATGTATTTTTAGATTTACTTAGAACGAAATGTACATACAGTACCGAAATTGTTTTAAGTGATTGACTAGTTAGTCCTCTCTATTCTATTGCATTTACATCTAAAATTCTCTACTCCTAACATCTTCTGATGTTTACTGTATATCATTATCCTTTGAACATAGAAAATTCGTTAACGATGAAAATGTATTCTATGAGCTAAAGTTGCACTGTGAGAAATTACGTTTCCATTTTGTGAGGAATTCAAATTCGAATTGAATTTTCATTTTTATAGGTAGTATCATTTTTTAAGAAAAGAATAATGGTGATGTTTAAATAAATTTAGTCTTTTTTCTTAAACATTTCGAAATGCTACAAAGTTTTTAAAACAATTTTTTTTCAGCGTACAGTTTGAAATCAAGTGGAGGGGTTATTTCTAGGATACCGTACAGTTCTGCGGCCCGACTGTATTGTGTTTCAAAAGGAACTGATAACAACCCAATAGTAGGACATAAAAAAACCGAATTATTTTAATAATCAAAAAAAGAATTAAGTCGTAAATTCGATTTATGTCGGAAAGTGGGTTTTAAATTGACCACAAGGATCAATGGGGAATGGCTGCACAAATCAAGTTGAAAACAGATTTGTAAATTGCATCAAACAATAGCTCAAAATAATACTGAACAGACCAGATTGGATTTTAATTCCAAAACACATTCCCCTTGGGAAATTGATTTCCAAGCAAATCAAAATGAATTTCAGATTAATATGAAAGAAGTTCAGTTAATTAGTGTATAAAATTATAATCAAAAAAATAACTTTAAACATTTCTTTGTAAATTCGAAAATTTAATATTATTGCTACCTCCCAACATTTTTATTTCAGGAAATTAATTTTTTAATCCAAACTAAAAATAATTCAGAATTTCACATATCTTTCTCACAATTTCCTCGACACTTGAATCTATGTTTTAGTATTTAATTTCAATGACGAAAAACAGTAAATATTCAACTCTCTTCCTTCTGCGTATTCATAATTCTAATACAAAATTTATTTATTCATTCAGTGAACTTTTATTCTATCTTGAATAACATCTCATTAATTT